GGATACATGCATGTTCACCATAGAAATCATAGGTAAGACTGGGTAGTGGCTCTTTGTCCTGAATTAATGGAACTGAGTAGTTTTTGATTGACTGACAGATGTTGCGGATAGAAAAGGCAAATTTGTTTTTGGCGTCCAGCTCATTTATTTTCTTTTGATTTAATGCTGCCTAACAGATGATGAAAACCCTGACATCACATGTCCTGCCGCAGTCACGGGCATGTCTACGGACGCTGGAGTTGCGACTGCTGTCGTTACATGGTCAGCCACACCCTCGGCTACGGATAATGTGGACACCTTGACTGCAAGTGACATCAGTTGTACAGATGGGAATGGCAATACAGTGGTGTCAGCGGGCACATACACTTTGGGCACCACGACGGTCACGTGCACTGTCACTGATGCCGCTGCGAATATGGATACATGCATGTTCACCATAGAAATCATAGGTAAGACTGGGTAGTGGCTCTTTGTCCTGAATTAATGGAACTGAGTAGTTTTTGATTGACTGACAGATGTTGCGGATAGAATAGGCAAATTTGTTTTTGGCGTCCAGCTCATTTATTTTCTTTTGATTTAATGCTGCCTAACAGATGACGAAAACCCTGACATCACATGTCCTGCCGCAGTCACGGGCATGTCTACGGACGCTGGAGTTGCGACTGCTGTCGTTACATGGTCAGCCACACCCTCGGCTACGGATAATGTGGACACCTTGACTGCAAGTGACATCAGTTGTACAGATGGGAATGGCAATACAGTGGTGTCAGCGGGCACATACACTTTGGGCACCACGACGGTCACGTGCACTGTCACTGATGCCGCTGCGAATATGGATACATGCATGTTCACCATAGAAATCATAGGTAAGACTGGGTAGTGGCTCTTTGTCCTGAATTAATGGAACTGAGTAGTTTTTGATTGACTGACAGATGTTGCGGATAGAAAAAGCAAATTTGTTTTTGGCGTCCAGCTCATTTATTTTCTTTTGATTTAATGCTGCCTAACAGATGATGAAAACCCTGACATCACATGTCCTGCCGCAGTCACGGGCATGTCTACGGACGCTGGAGTTGCGACTGCTGTCGTTACATGGTCAGCCACACCCTCGGCTACGGATAATGTGGACACCTTGACTGCAAGTGACATCAGTTGTACAGATGGGAATGGCAATACAGTGGTGTCAGCGGGCACATACACTTTGGGCACCACGACGGTCACGTGCACTGTCACTGATGCCGCTGCGAATATGGATACATGCATGTTCACCATAGAAATCATAGGTAAGACTGGGTAGTGGCTCTTTGTCCTGAATTAATGGAACTGAGTAGTTTTTGATTGACTGACAGAAGTTGCGGATAGAAAAGGCAAATTTGTTTTTGGCGTCCAGCTCATTTATTTTCTTTTGATTTAATGCTGCCTAACAGATGATGAAAACCCTGACATCACATGTCCTGCCGCAGTCACGGGCATGTCTACGGACGCTGGAGTTGCGACTGCTGTCGTTACATGGTCAGCCACACCCTCGGCTACGGATAATGTGGACACCTTGACTGCAAGTGACATCAGTTGTACAGATGCGAATGGCAATACAGTGGTGTCAGCGGGCACATACACTTTGGGCACCACGACGGTCACGTGCACTGTCACTGATGCCGCTGCGAATATGGATACATGCATGTTCACCATAGAAATCATAGGTAAGACTGGGTAGTGGCTCTTTGTCCTGAATTAATGGAACTGAGTAGTTTTTGATTGACTGACAGAAGTTGCGGATAGAAAAGGCAAATTTGTTTTTGGCGTCCAGCTCATTTATTTTCTTTTGATTTAATGCTGCCTAACAGATGATGAAAACCCTGACATCACATGTCCTGCCGCAGTCACGGGCATGTCTACGGACGCTGGAGTTGCGACTGCTGTCGTTACATGGTCAGCCACACCCTCGGCTACGGATAATGTGGACACCTTGACTGCAAGTGACATCAGTTGTACAGATGGGAATGGCAATACAGTGGTGTCAGCGGGCACATACACTTTGGGCACCACGACGGTCACGTGCACTGTCACTGATGCCGCTGCGAATATGGATACATGCATGTTCACCATAGAAATCATAGGTAAGACTGGGTAGTGGCTCTTTGTCCTGAATTAATGGAACTGAGTAGTTTTTGATTGACTGACAGATGTTGCGGATAGAAAAGGCAAATTTGTTTTTGGCGTCCAGCTCATTTATTTTCTTTTGATTTAATGCTGCCTTACAGATGATGAAAACCCTGACATCACATGTCCTGCCGCAGTCACGGGCATGTCTACGGACGCTGGAGTTGCGACTGCTGTCGTTACTTGGTCAGCCACACCCTCGGCTACGGATAATGTGGACACCTTGACTGCAAGTGACATCAGTTGTACAGATGGGAATGGCAATACAGTGGTGTCAGCGGGCACATACACTTTGGGCACCACGACGGTCACGTGCACTGTCACTGATGCCGCTGCGAATATGGATACATGCATGTTCACCATAGAAATCATAGGTAAGACTGGGTAGTGGCTCTTTGTCCTGAATTAATGGAACTGAGTAGTTTTTGATTGACTGACAGAAGTTGCAGATAGAAAAAGCAAATTTTTTTTGGCGTCCAGCTCATTTATTTTCTTTTGATTTAATGCTGCCTAACAGATGATGAAAACCCTGACATCACATGTCCTGCCGCAGTCACGGGCATGTCTACGGACGCTGGAGTTGCGACTGCTGTCGTTACATGGTCAGCCACACCCTCGGCTACGGATAATGTGGACACCTTGACTGCAAGTGACATCAGTTGTACAGATGCGAATGGCAATACAGTGGTGTCAGCGGGCACATACACTTTGGGCACCACGACGGTCACGTGCACTGTCACTGATGCCGCTGCGAATATGGATACATGCATGTTCACCATAGAAATCATAGGTAAGACTGGGTAGTGGCTCTTTGTCCTGAATTAATGGAACTGAGTAGTTTTTGATTGACTGACAGAAGTTGCGGATAGAAAAGGCAAATTTGTTTTTGGCGTCCAGCTCATTTATTTTCTTTTGATTTAATGCTGCCTAACAGATGACGAAAACCCTGACATCACATGTCCTGCCGCAGTCACGGGCATGTCTACGGACGCTGGAGTTGCGACTGCTGTCGTTACATGGTCAGCCACACCCTCGGCTACGGATAATGTGGACACCTTGACTGCAAGTGACATCAGTTGTACAGATGGGAATGGCAATACAGTGGTGTCAGCGGGCACATACACTTTGGGCACCACGACGGTCACGTGCACTGTCACTGATGCCGCTGCGAATATGGATACATGCATGTTCACCATAGAAATCATAGGTAAGACTGGGTAGTGGCTCTTTGTCCTGAATTAATGGAACTGAGTAGTTTTTGATTGACTGACAGATGTTGCGGATAGAATAGGCAAATTTGTTTTTGGCGTCCAGCTCATTTATTTTCTTTTGATTTAATGCTGCCTAACAGATGACGAAAACCCTGACATCACATGTCCTGCCGCAGTCACGGGCATGTCTACGGACGCTGGAGTTGCGACTGCTGTCGTTACATGGTCAGCCACACCCTCGGCTACGGATAATGTGGACACCTTGACTGCAAGTGACATCAGTTGTACAGATGGGAATGGCAATACAGTGGTGTCAGCGGGCACATACACTTTGGGCACCACGACGGTCACGTGCACTGTCACTGATGCCGCTGCGAATATGGATACATGCATGTTCACCATAGAAATCATAGGTAAGACTGGGTAGTGGCTCTTTGTCCTGAATTAATGGAACTGAGTAGTTTTTGATTGACTGACAGAAGTTGCGGATAAAATAGGCAAATTTGTTTTTGGCGTCCAGCTCATTTATTTTCTTTTGATTTAATGCTGCCTAACAGATGACGAAAACCCTGACATCACATGTCCTGCCGCAGTCACGGGCATGTCTACGGACGCTGGAGTTGCGACTGCTGTCGTTACATGGTCAGCCACACCCTCGGCTACGGATAATGTGGACACCTTGACTGCAAGTGACATCAGTTGTACAGATGGGAATGGCAATACAGTGGTGTCAGCGGGCACATACACTTTGGGCACCACGACGGTCACGTGCACTGTCACTGATGCCGCTGCGAATATGGATACATGCATGTTCACCATAGAAATCATAGGTAAGACTGGGTAGTGGCTCTTTGTCCTGAATTAATGGAACTGAGTAGTTTTTGATTGACCGACAGATGTTGCGGATAGAAAAGGCAAATTTGTTTTTGGCGTCCAGCTCATTTATTTTCTTTTGATTTAATGCTGCCTAACAGATGACGAAAACCCTGACATCACATGTCCTGCCGCAGTCACGGGCATGTCTACGGACGCTGGAGTTGCGACTGATGTCGTTACATGGTCAGCCACACCCTCGGCTACGGATAATGTGGACACCTTGACTGCAAGTGACATCAGTTGTACAGATGGGAATGGCAATACAGTGGTGTCAGCGGGCACATACACTTTGGGCACCACGACGGTCACGTGCACTGTCACTGATGCCGCTGCGAATATGGATACATGCATGTTCACCATAGAAATCATAGGTAAGACTGGGTAGTGGCTCTTTGTCCTGGATTAATGGAACTGAGTAGTTTTTGATTGACTGACAGATGTTGCGGATAGAAAAGGCAAATTTGTTTTTGGCGTCCAGCTCATTTATTTTCTTTTGATTTAATGCTGCCTAACAGATGATGAAAACCCTGACATCACATGTCCTGCCGCAGTCACGGGCATGTCTACGGATGCTGGAGTTGCGACTGCTGTCGTTACATGGTCAGCCACACCCTCGGCTACGGATAATGTGGACACCTTGACTGCAAGTGACATCAGTTGTACAGATGGAAATGGCAATACAGTGGTGTCAGCGGGCACATACACTTTGGGCACCACTACGGTCACGTGCACTGTCACTGATGCCGCTGGGAATATGGATACATGCATGTTCACCATAGAAATCATAGGTAAGACTGGGTAGTGGCTCTTTGTCCTGGATTAATGGAACTGAGTAGTTTTTGATTGACTGACAGAAGTTGCGGATAGAAAAGGCAAATTTGTTTTTGGCGTCCAGCTCATTTATTTTCTTTTGATTTAATGCTGCCTAACAGATGATGAAAACCCTGACATCACATGTCCTGCTGCAGTCACGGGCATGTCTACGGACGCTGGAGTTGCGACTGCTGTCGTTACATGGTCAGCCACACCCTCGGCTACGGTTAATGTGGGCACCTTGACTGCAAGTGACATCAGTTGTACAGATGGGAATGGCAATACAGTGGTGTCAGCGGGCACATACACTTTGGGCACCACGACGGTCACGTGCACTGTCACTGATGCCGCTGCGAATATGGATACATGCATGTTCACCATAGAAATCATAGGTAAGACTGGGTAGTGGCTCTTTGTCCTGAATTAATGGAACTGAGTAGTTTTTGATTGACTGACAGAAGTTGCGGATAGAAAAGGCAAATTTTTTTTTGCCGTCCAGCTCATTTATTTTCTTTCGATTTAATGCTGTCTAACAGATGATGAAAACCCTGACATCACATGTCCTGCCGCAGTCACGGGCATGTCTACGGACGCTGGAGTTGCGACTGCTGTCGTTACATGGTCATCCACACCCTCGGCTACGGATAATGTGGACACCTTGACTGCAAGTGACATCAGTTGTACAGATTGGTATGGCAATACAGTGGTGTCAGCGGGCACATACACTTTGGGCACCACGACGGTCACGTGCACTGTCACTGATGCCGCTGGGAATATGGATACATGCATGTTCACCATAGAAATCATAGGTAAGACTGGGTAGTGGCTCTTTGTCCTGGATTAATGGAACTGAGTAGTTTTTGATTGACTGACAGAAGTTGCTCATTTATTTTCTTTTGATTTAATGCTGCCTAACAGATGATGAAAACCCTGACATCACATGTCCTGCCGCAGTCACAGACATGTCTACGGACGCTGGAGTTCCGACTGCCGTCGTTACATGGTCAGCCACACCCTCGGCTACGGATAATGTGGACACCTTAACTGCAAGTGACATCAGTTGTATAGATGGGAATGGCAATACAGTGGTGTCAGCGGGCACATATACTTTGGGCACCACGACGGTCTCGTGCACTGTCACTGATGCCGCTGCGAATATGGATACATGCATGTTCACCATAGAAATCATAGGTAAGACTGGGTAGTGGCTCTTTGTCCTACATTAATGGAACTGAGTAGTTTTTGCTTGACTGACAGAAGTTGCGGATAGTATAGATAAATTTGTTTTTGGCGTCACGCGCATTCATTGTTTTTTGATTTAATGTTGCCTAACAGATGATGAAATACCTGTCATCACATGTCTCAACGCAGTGATTATAGTTACCATTGCGCGGGAAGCACAAAGGTCACAACATGCAAATCAAAGTGTTTAATAAAAACATGCAAATCACTTGCAAACCTTTGAGGTACCGAAACTGAGGGCGCACTTGGTCTCCCTACAGTCAGAATAATGAAGTCAAATATATGCCCCACCTTAATTGCTGCATGGTATTAAGATCGTAAAGGGTCACCTCATAGCGCAAACAAGAGAATGAGATCTTAAGAGTCATTTCGTGTAAATACTTCATATAACTGTCCACGCTCAAAATTTGAATCATTTTATACTTTGTGGGATGAAAGGACTTAGGGAGTAAGTAACCGTTGCCATGGTTACGGGTCATTATGCGTTTTAGCCATTTTTGGGCAATTTTGAGGCTGGAAAAATTCATTTTTTGCGTTATTTTCAAAGGTCATCAAGCCAAACTGCTAGGTTTTGTCACAAAAGTAACTATATCACGACAAAGTATCATCCTTACCCTAACAAGATAAAAATAAAAACACTTCTGAAAAATCCCCTTTATATTATTTGTAGGCCCTATAATACATAATGTTTTTACAACTAGCAAAATTGCATTTTTTTACCATTTTTATCCCTCCAAAAAGGCACTTGCCAGCGCAGTCAGAAAAATTTCCCTTTGGCTATGGTTAGTTCAGACATTGGTCTTTACGTATCTGGTGAGAAAATCTTGGATTATTTTATAGCCTTTGTGTAGTATCGCTCCAAATATGGTAAATTTCACAAAAACCTTAAAAAGTGTATTTTCAGTGTTTTTTCAGTGTATTTTCGGTTTTGCGAGCGTGGACTCTTATATGAAGTATTTACACGAAATGATTCTTAAGCATTATCAATTTACTTTGTGTGCTTGCTTTGTTTACAGTGTAGCGTCAATCCCACTTTGTGCTTGGTAATAATTCCTCCCGAATTCTCCGCCGGGGATATTATTAACAAGGAAGATTTCAGGAGAATGGCAACTAATTTGATTTTGAGTGGTTATCCCAATACCGAAAACTGTTGGTGAGGACGAGTCAGCAACAGCCTGATGAAGATGGTTCCATAGATCGATGGGTCTCGGGAAAAACGAGTGTTTCAGTGTTGATGTGGATTCTCTCAAATTGTTTGTAGTTGCCTTTCCTTGACCCCCTAGGTTTTGGCTTCAGGATGAGACTAGAATTGATTGTGATGATGTGATGGATGATTTTGAACAGGGTTGTACAGTCATATGGTTGCTAAGGCAAAGCGTCTGTCGTTATTAGGGAAAGCTAATCCGATTACATACTTAGACGCTACAGCAGAGCAGTGAAATTCATGCACCACAAATAAATGGCCTTCTAAACGTTGTGTTTCTCAGAAAATATTCTCAGTATGATCGAAATGTTAAATGATGACGGAAAAAGAAATTCTAAACTTCGTGTCAGTGAAAAAAATTTGCCGTCATTAATGCTGAAACATCAACACTGGTTACTGTTATAGCTGACCTTCAAGTCTGGAAGAAATTGTACGTAAACTTCCCCAAATCTATGTATTTATATCAATTTCTAGGAATCTACTCATTTCATTTCATTTCATTTCTTTTATTTGTCTCAGATTGTGGCCCGGGGGCCAAATTCCAAAAGAAAATTACATCATAAACAATTAATTCTACAAACGATTAAAACTTGCTTAACACAAAAAAATGAGTAAAATAGTAGGCAGGCAATACATTAAAATTATACGTAAACAAACACCACATAACCAGAGAGACAGAACTATTTAAGAAAGGAGGGACAACATGCACAATACGCACAATAAATAACAACTTGAGCACAAACACTTCAAGGGTTCAAGAACTGTCTCAAGACTTTTCTGTTCAATCATTAAACTGCTTTCGCTGTTTTCACTAATTTTGAGTCTACGTTTCTGTAACTTACTTTGCTGTTAAGCGCTGTGATACTTTATGTGTAAGAGCGCTCTATAAATGCTTGTTATTATTATTATTATTAAGATGGCACTCAAAAGGTGATTTCTGAATGTTTGGCGTATCTATTCCCTCTCTCTTTGGAATCAGCTGAAGGCGCCCCAAACATCACCTGTCCTTTCCCAGTTTCGAACTTGGGTACAGACTTGGGAGTATCTAGTGCCGTCGTTTTGTGGTCGCCTGCGCCATCGGCTGCTGATGATGTCGACACCTTAACTGCTGACAATATAACCTGTGTTGATGCAGACGGCAATAACGTGATGTCAGGTGGCACCTTTGATGTAGGCATAACGACTGTCACCTGCAGCGTAATCGACAGTGACTCCAATTTAAACGTTTGCAGATTTACTATTGAAGTGGTTGGTAAGTCTGATTGTTGTTGTTTCCCTTCCTATCATGAGTAAAAAAAACACATTGTTTTCATTGTCATTGAGGGAAGTGTGTAGACAGTGGCGTAATTCTGTGTCCGTGAGTGGCCATGGGGGATGGGCGATGACCAATATCCTACAACATGACACTAGGGAGCACTGTTCATTATACAAATGTAAATCTGAATATGCAAACTTGCGCACTTAAGCCAAACGTTCCGCATAATGAACATTGAGGACATTTTTCATCATCTCAAAACCTCGCATATTTTGTTAACATTTGGAATTCAGTAAAAAGTTGTGCAGTAATTGGATTGATGATCTAATAATGGTGCAGCCCTATTGGAAGCACAGAGACTTTTCTCCAACTTCACTCCTATGTTTTTTAAGGATTTACCTCAAAAAGAATCTGAGTTAAACACTTATGCAAGATATACATCATTTCAGATATTGTGTTGCTGTTTTTCCTAGATGACGAAATTCCAATATTTCTGAGTGTCCCTGACGACATCAACATAACGACAGACGCTGGTCAATCGTTTGGCACTCCAAATTGGGACTTACCAACAGCGAGTGACAACAACGGCAACTTTACTCTGATGTGTTCTCACCAGCCGGGCGACACTTTTGACATTGGAACAACGACAGTGACTTGTACTGTCACAGACCAAGCTGGCAATACTGCAACTGTAACATTTAACGTCACTGTCTTTGGTAAGAGACTTTTCTCCAACTACACTCCTATGTTTTGTAAGGGTTGTCCTCAGAAAGAATCTGAGTTAAACTCTTAAGCTTACATTGTACAAGATATACGTCATTTCAGATATTGTATTGCTGTGTTTCCTAGATGACGAAATGCCAATATTTCTGAATGTCCCTGACAACATCAACGTAACGACAGATGATGGTGAATCATTCGGCACACCAAATTGGGACTTGCCTACAGCGAGCGACAACGGCGGAAACTTCACCTTAACGTGTTCTGACCAGCCAGGCAACACTTTTGATATTGGAACAACGAGGGTGACTTGTACTGTCATAGACCAAGCTGGCAATACTGCAACCGTAAAGTTTAACGTCACTGTCATTGGTAAATTTCTAGACGACATGAATAATAAAAGGCATTTCAAATACTCAATGGTTTATTTTTTTGAGGTCATTTAAACACTTTAGAAGAATTTTAGTACCGTAATACTGATTTTTTTTATTTTACTACAGATGATGAAATGCCAATATTTCTGAGTGTCCCTGAAAACATCAACGTAACGACAGAGGCTGGTCAATCATTTGGCACACCAAATTGGGACTTGCCAACAGCGAGTGACAACAGCGGAAACTTTACTCTGTCGTGTTCACACCAGCCAGGCGCTACTTTTGATCTTGGAGCAACATCAGTGACTTGCACCGTCACAGACCAAGCTGGCAACAGTGCAACTGTAAAGTTTAACGTCACTGTCATTGGTAAGCTTCTAGACGACATGAATAATAAAACGCATTTTAAATATTCAATGGATTGTTTTTGAAGGTCATTTAAACACTTTAGAAGAATTTAAGCACCTTTATACTGAATTGTTATTTCACTACAGATGATGAACTGCCAATATTTCTGAGTGTCCCTGAAGACATCAACATAACGACTGACGCTGGTCAATCATTTGGCACACCAAATTGGGACTTGCCAACAGCGAGTGACAACAGCGGAAACTTTACTCTGACGTGTTCACACCAGCCAGGCGACACTTTTGATATCGGAACAACGACGGTGACTTGCACCATCATGGACGCAGCTGGCAACACTGCAACTGTAACATTTAACATCATTGTCATTGGTAAGCTTCTAGACAAAACGAAATTTTCAGGAACATTTATTTTAATGTTTTCAGACATGCTTTCCAAAACCACTATGAAAGGGAAGTAATTAACTTAAATCAAATCATCAATTAAATCATCTTAATATTTTTTTTTAAGATGACGAAAAGCCCATATTTCTGAGTGTCCCTGAAAACATCAACGTAACAACAGCCGCTGGTCAATCATTTGGCACACCAAATTGGGACTTGCCAACAGCGAGTGACAACAGCGGAAACTTTACTCTGTCTTGTTCACAACAGCCAGGCGACACTTTTGATATCGGAACAACGACGGTGACTTGCACCGTCACGGACGAAGCTGGCAACACTGCAACTGTAAAGTTTAACGTCACTGTCATTGGTAAGCTTCTAGACGACATGAATAATAAAATGCATTTTAAACACTGAGGTCATTTAAACACTTTAGAAGAATTTAAGCACCATAATACTGAATTTTTTTATTTTACTACAGATGATGAAATGCCAATATTTCTGAGTATTCCTGAAAACATCAACATCACCACAGACGACGGTCAATCATTCGGCACACCAAACTGGGACTTGCCAACAGCGAGTGACAACAGCAGTAACTTTACTCTGACATGTTCACACCAGCCAGGCGACACTTTTGACATTGGAACAACGACGGTGACTTGCACCATCATGGACGAAGCTGGCAACACTGCAACTGTAACATTTAACATCATTGTCATTGGTAAGCTTCTAGACAAAACGAAATTTTCAGGAACATTTATTTTAATGTTTTCAGACGGGCTTTCCAAAACCACTATGAAAGGGAAGTAATTAACTTAAATCAAATCATCAATTAAATCATCTTAATATTTTTTTTAAGATGACGAAAAGCCCATATTTCTGAGTGTCCCTGAAAACATCAACGTAACGACAGACGCTGGTCAATCATTTGGCACACCAAATTGGGACTTGCCAACAGCGAGTGACAACAGCGGAAACTTTACTCTGACGTGTTCACACCAGCCAGGCGACACTTTTGATATTGGAACAACGACGGTGACTTGCACCGTCACGGACGAAGCTGGCAACCCTGCAACTGTAAAGTTTAACGTCACTGTCATTGGTAAGCTTCTAGACGACATGAATAATAAAATGCATTTTAAATACTGAGGTCATTTAAACACTTTAGAAGAATTTAAGCACCATAATACTGATTTTTTTTATTTTACTACAGATGATGAAATGCCAATATTTCTGAGTATTCCTGAAAACATCAACATCACCACAGACGACGGTCAATCATTTGGCACACCAAACTGGGACTTGCCAACAGCGAGTGACAACAGCGGTAACTTTACTCTGACATGTTCACACCAGCCAGGCGACACTTTTGACATTGGAACAACGACGGTGACATGCACCGTCACGGATGAAGCTGGCAACACTGCAACTGTAACATTTAACATCATTGTCATTGGTAAGCTTCTAGACTAAACACATTTTTTATTGACCATTTCCAACATTTATTGGAATGTTTTCAGAAGTCTTCTACAAAGACACTTGAAAGGGAAGTATTTCAATCATTATAATAATTTTTCCTTTTGAAGATGACAAAATGCCAGTATTTCTAAGTGTCCCTGAAAACATCAACATAACGACTGACGCTGGTCAATCATTCGGCACACCAAACTGGGACTTGCCAACAGCGAGTGACAACAGCGGCAACTTTACCCTGACATGTTCGCACCAGCCAGGCGATACTTTTGATATTGGAACAACGACGGTGACTTGTACCGTCACAGACCAAGCTGGCAACAGTGCAACTGTAAAGTTCAACGTCACTGTCATTGGTAAGCTTCTAGATGACATGAATAATAAAACACATTTTAAATACTCAATGGATTGTTTTTTTAGGTCATTTAAACACTTTAGAAGAATTTAAGCACAGTAATACTGAATTTTTATTTCACTACAGATGACGAAATGCCAATATTGCTGAGTGTCCCTGAAAACATTAACATAACTACTGACGAAGGTCAGTCATTCGGCACACCAAACTGGGACTTACCAACAGCAAGCGACAACAGCGGTAACTTTACCTTGACGTGTTCTCACCAGCCAGGCGACACTTTTGACATTGGAGCAACAACAGTGACTTGCACCGTCACGGACGAAGCTGGCAACACTGCAACTGTAACATTAAACATCATTGTCATTGGTAAGCTTCTACACAAAACGAAATTTTCAGGAACATTTATTTTAATGTTTTCAGACGTGCTTTCCAAAACCACTATGAAAGGGAAGATATTAACTGAAATCAAATCATCAATTAAACCATCTTAATATTTTTTTTAAGATGACGAAAAGCCCATATTTCTGAGTGTCCCTGAAAACATCAGCGTAACGACAGATGCTGGTCAATCATTTGGCACACCAAATTGGGACTTGCCAACAGCGAGTGACAACAGCGGCAACTTTACTCTGACGTGTTCACACCAGCCAGGCGATACTTTTGATATTGGAACAACGACGGTGAGTTGTACCGTCATGGACGAAGCTGGCAACACTGCAACTGTAAGGTTCAACGTCACTGTCATTGGTAAGCTTCTAGACGACATGAATAATACAACGCATTTCAAATACTCAATAGATCCTTTTTGGAGGACATATAAACACTTTAGAAGAATTTAAGCACCTTTATACTGAATTGTTATTTCACTACAGATGACAAAATGCCACTATTTCTGAGTGTCCCTGAAAACATGAACATAACCACAGACGACGGTCAGTCATTCGGCACACCAAACTGGGACTTGCCAACAGCGAATGACAACAGCGGTAACGTTACTCTGACGTGTTCACACCAGCCAGGCGACACTTTTGACATTGGAACAACGACAGTAACTTGCACCGTTACGGACGAAGCTGGCAACACTGCAACTGTAACATTTAACATCATTGTCATTGGTAAGCTTCTAGACAAAACGAAATTTTTAGGAACATTTATTTTAATGTTTTCAGACGGTCTTTCCAAAACCACTATGAAAGGGAAGATATTAACTTCAAGCAAATCATAAATTAAACCATCTTAATATTTTTTTTAAGATGACAAAAAGCCCATATTTCTGAGTGTCCTTGAAAACATCAACATAACGACAGATGCTGGTCAATCATTTGGCACACCAAATTGGGACTTGCCAACAGCGAGTGACAACAGCGGCAACTTAACTCTGACATGTTCACACCAGCCAGGCGATACTATTGATATTGGAACAATGACTGTGAGTTGTACTGTCATGGACGAAGCTGGCAACACTGCAACTGTAAGGTTCAACGTCACTGTCATTGGTAAGCTTCTAGACGACATGAATAATACAACGCATTTCAAATACTCAATAGATCCTTTTTGGAGGTCATTTAAACACTTTAGAAGAATTTAAGCACCTTTATTCTGAATTTTATTTCACTACAGATGACGAACTGCCAATATTCCTGAGTGTCCCTGAAAACATCAACATAACCACAGACGACGGTCAATCATTTGGCACACCAAATTGGGACTTGCCAACAGCGAGTGACAACAGCGGTAACTTTACCTTGAGGTGTTCTCACCAGCCAGGCGACACTTTTGACATTGGAACAACGACGGTGACTTGCACTGTCACGGATGAAGCTGGCAACACTGCAACTGTAACATTTAACATCATTGTCATTGGTAAGCGTCTAGACTAAACACATTTTTTATTGGGCATTTCGAACATTTATTGGAATGTTTTCAGAAGTCCTCTACAAAAACACCTTGAGGGGGAAGTATTTCAGTCATTATAATACTTTTTCCTTTTGAAGATGACAAAATGCCAGTATTTCTGAGTGTCCCTGAAAACATCAACATAACGACTGACCCTGGTCAATCGTTTGGCACACCAAACTGGGACTTGCCAACAGCGAGTGACAGCAGCGGCAACTTTACTCTGACATGTTCGCACCAGCCAGGCGACCCTTTTGACATTGGAACAACGACGGTGACTTGTACTGTCACAGACCAAGCTGGCAACACTGCAACTGTAAAGTTCAACGTCACTGTTATTGGTAAGCTTCTAGTTGACATGAATAATGAAACACATTTTAAATACTCAATGGATTGTTTTTTGAGATCATTTAAACACTTTAGAAAAATTTAACCACAGTAATACTGAATTTTTATTTCACTACAGATGACGAAATGCCAATATTGCTGAGTGTCCCTGAAAACATCAACATAACCACAGACGACGGTCTGTCATTCGGCACACCAAAGTGGGACTTGCCAACAGCAAGCGACAACAGTGGTAACTTTACCTTGACGTGTTCTCACCAGCCAGGCGACGCTTTTGACATTGGAACAACGACGGTGACTTGCACCATCATGGACGAAGCTGGCAACACTGCAACTGTAACATTTAACATCGTTGTCATAGGTAAGCTTCTAGACAAAACAAAATTTCTGAAGAATTTTAATCATTCATTGGAATGTTTTCAGACCTGCTTTCCAAAACCACTATGAAAGGTAAGTAATTAACTTAAATCAAATCATCAATTAAATCATCATGATACTTTTTCCTTTTGAAGATGACAAAAAGCCCATATTTCTGAGTGTCCCTGAAAACATCAACGTAACGACAGATGCTGGCAACACCGCAACTGTAGACTTTGATGTGACTGTAACTGGTAATCTGTATGACAAACTGAAATTAGAAAGCATTTAAATACTGTAGTCGACGTTTATTTCCTTTCGTTTAGGCCACTTCCATAAAGGATTGTAAAGATCAACATGAATTTTTTTTTGGTTTCATTCAAGATGACGAAACGCCGATATTTGTGAGTGTTCCTCATGACATCACTATCACGACAGATGACGGTGAATCTTTCGGTACACCAACTTGGGATTTCCCAACAGTTAGCGGCAACAGCGGTAACTTTACGCTGACGTGTTCTCGCCAGCCGGGCGACACTTTTGGTATTGAAACCACGATGGTGACTTGTACAGTTACTGATGAGGCTGGCAACACTGCAACCGTCAAGTTTTATGTCACTGTCATCGGTTAGTTTCAAGATGCATCAAAATTTGGAAAGCATTTTAAATTTTTAAAACCCTCCTATGCCAACATACACTCTGTGCAAACTTGTCCTTTCAGTCAATTAAAATCAGTCAAGTGACTGTTTCTAACAGTTAAGAGCTCCCAGCCTACATTAAGCAGGATTGACTGGCTGTGACTGTTTATGTACTTTGATACAGCTATGCTTTGACTGTAGGTGATTGATAAGCTAGCTGTGCTTACCACTTGCCTGCTTTTGTTTGACCGCATTGGTAAGTAGTCTGTGTAAACAGGCATCCAACTTTTCCTCGGATCAGCTGATTTCCTATTTTTTTACTTCCCATGTGTGCCATTGAAAATAAAAAAAAACACTGTAAAAAGTCTGGGAAAAATTTGAATTTCCTCTTTTTTTGTGATTTCCCAGTTGCATGCCTGTGTAAAAGGCGCAGGGGAAGGGGATTGATTTTTGACTGTCTGTGACTGTTCAGACAGCAACAGGGTTAATTAACGAATTTTTATCATCATTATTCATTACTTTCGATGACTTAAGTGAACTATATAAAACGGCGTTTCTAATTTCTTTTTCTTTTACAGATGAGGAAAAGCCCATATTCCTCAGTGTCCTCGATAACATCAACATAACGACAGAGGACGGTCAATCTTTCGGCACTCCAAATTGGGACTTACCAACAGCGAGCGACAACAGCGGTAACTTTACCTTGACGTGTTCTCACCAGCCAGGCGACACTTTTGATATCGGAACAACGACGGTGACTTGCGCCGTCACGGATGAGGTTGGCAACACTGCAACCGCAAAGTTCAACATCACTGTTATTGGTAAGCTTCAAGACCAGAAGAAATGTTTATGAAGCATTTCAAACATTGAATGGAATGTTTTCAGAATTTATTTTGACGGACAGCATGAAAGATATATATAGTCCATCATTTGTAATTTGTGCATTTTGTTCGTTTGAAGCAACAAAAGTCCTCAAAATCTCAAGAAGGGTGCTGAAGAACTAACCTGATGAAGTTTAAGCTCAGCTTCAGCTGTACATTTCGAGAAAAACAACATTCTAGGATCTCGATTTCAAATCAAAAGTTGCTTGAATTGTGTTTTGAATTGGGCCTAAATTCAGTGACCGAGACACGTTATCACATCACTGCAGCTACGTGATGTCGCACGCTGATCTGACGAATAATAGCAACTGCGTGCGGTGGGCGTCGTGTCAATGCTTGCGCACGCTTCGCGGAATAAAAAAGCGAACTACTAATGGAAATTTCCAATGGTGCGTCATTATTATGTGCGTCTTTAGATGCACCGTTGGAAAGGCCTTCTTTCGTTGATTTCTTTGAAACAACGTATAGCATGCCAGAAAGATTAATTTCACAGGGAGTTTAGTTCTATTACTATCTTTCAATCAAGTACGTTTTTCAAGAACAATTACGTCAGTTACTTTTTGGATAGCTGCAAATGATGGACTGTAGCTTTAGAGGAATAAACGTAAATTATCTTAATACATAGTTTTTTGTTTCTTTAAAGATGATGAAAACCCAATATTTTTGAGTATCCCTGAAAACATCAATATAACGACAGACGCTGGTCAATCGTTCGGCACACCAAACTGGGACTTGCCAACAGTGAGTGACAACAGCGGCAACTTTACTCTGACGTGTTCTCACCAGCCAGGCGACACTTTTGATATTGGAACCATGACGGTGACTTGCGCCGTCACAGACAAAGCTGGCAATACTGCAATGTTACAGTTTGATGTCGTTGTATCTGGTTAGTGTTTTATTTAAAATAGAGTGCCCAAGTGCTTAATTTAAAATCGTTCATTTGAAGTTGAAACTGATTGAGTGCTTGTATCCATTTTGCTTTTCTTTTTTATTGAACATTTGTCAGTTATCAACATTTTTCATTGATCCCAGTTAGATCAGCATAATTTGGTCTCTACCTTCACAGGTAACCATTTATACTCGTGGATGGAGAGAGGCAATCGTAGTCAAGTGTCTTGCCCCAAAACACCAGCATCGTGTTCCCCATCAGGGTTCGAACCCACGTGCCACGGCACATGAGTTGAACATCGTAACTATAAATGGACCACAGCTCCCCATAAAAACATTCCTCAATATATCCTTACAATTTTTTTTTACCAGACAATCAAGCACCCATTTTCCTGGAGACACCTGGATCGATTTACTTAGAGACCGATCCTGGCGAAGCCTTCGGCACAGCAGCTTGGACAGTTCCAACAGTTGCTGACAACAGTGGCAACTTCACATTGACGTCGTCTCACCGATCAGGCGAGACGTTTGATCTGGGACCCACCACGGTGACGTACACGGCAACAGACGGCGGGGGGAACACTGCAAGCGTTGAGTTTGTTGTCCACATAATAGGTACGGTTATAGCCCTCCTCACTGTTAACTGTTGGTCAAACTCGGTGGGAATTACTGTTTACAATGTCTGATTTTATGAGCAGCAATGTCTTGTCAAAGATTCTTGGGGATGGGGAATAAGCGCATCCAGAAAGGACGGCTTAGAAAAGTTGTGGTCGACAGAAAGAGCTGTGTTTATGCAGAAAATTGTGGTTGACAGAAAGAGCTGTATTTATGTTGAGGTAGGATACTTGCATCAAGTTATTGACGATTACATGTGAATGTATTAATTGGTCGAATAAGATCCTACATCAAAATTCTTTTGGTCTTTGTCCCGAATGCCTTTCTGTAGAGCTGCGGCCATATTGCGAAGGATTGTGTACTCCACAGACTCTATCTAGCCATTATACACGAAATCCTGTAATACGTCAGATGCACATATATACCGTCCTCATCCAATGTGATGGGCCTTATTCACGAGTTGGCCATTTTAGTTGAGTTCCCTGAAGATATATCATTAATTCTTAACTGTTGAATGGGATGGCGCCAGACTATTTTCGCAGGCATTATGCTGCCGTTTTTAACTGTAATTTTTTTTTTAATCTGGCTTTAAACATTAGGGAACATTTAATTACAAATTTAAAATTATTCATTTTGAGCAGACTGGAAGTACTTAGTAATCAACTTTCTTTCATTTCTCTACACAAGTTCCAAAAATGAAGTTTTTAACTCACTCTCAATCCAATATGGCCGATTCATTTCACTATATTTAAACCACAGTATAACAATACAGTATGTCCCAAAAAAGTGTCCATGAGGTCAATTTTGAAAATATTTGGTTGTGCAGGTACTCCTAAACCTTGGCCTCAGCCCCTATGAGTTTCATTTCATTTCAGTCATTCATCACTACACAATTGTCAATTGATCACAACATTTTTGGACCCTGTGACCAATGCCTTATTCACTTTCAGTACTGTGTTAAGTTAGCTGTGTAAAATCCTTCATCTTGTGAAAATGGCTGCAGTTGGGGTTGGCATTAATTGCCTGGCTACCAGTCATCATGGCAAGACCTCAGTTTAATGCTCAAGGGCAAATGATTCCAATCCCAAACCACACGGGCCTTTTTCTTTCACAACATGCAGGATGTTTCACAGCTTACATAACACAGCACTGATATGGCTGAAGGCATGGAACTTAGTCACAGTGTCCAAAAAGGTTGTGATTGTCATTGACAATAATGTGAAATGATGCGTGACTGAAATTAAATGAAAATCATGGGGGTTGAGGCCAAGGCTTAGGAATATCTGCACAACCAAAAGTTTTCAAAATTGGCTTCATGGTTTTGTAGTTATTTTAAAAACAGTCAGACGAACACTTTTTGGGGGACATAACCGCAGAATGATAGTCCCTTCCAGCTCTGCATTGTAGTCTTGTGCAGGTAGGAAGGAACTGTGGTGAAATATCACACAAAAAGCGTTTTCTATAACAAAATTAAAACAAAAACCTAACAGAAAATCTTCGAATTGTACTGATTGCAGATAATGAAGTGCCGATATTTCTGTCAAGTCCTGGAGATATCACCATTTCCCTGAAGGGCGGAGCCTATTGGAATCCTCCCACTGCTTCCGATAATAGCGGGAATTACACTATAAGTGGAAGCCACTCTCCCGGGGATACCTTCAGTCTTGGCGCAACAACAGTCATTTACACGGCGACAGATGCTTCTGGCAATACTGCGACCGTTCAGTTTGTCGTTTATGTAACAGGTGGGTGTATCGTGCTATACTAGAAAAAGACTCTTTAAAAGTACAGGTGAATGGCTTCTGACTAGCGCCACTTGAATGAAGACAGAAATGGGGAACCGCCAACATAGGGCATAGATGGTAGGGCACCGGAACGGTAATCCAGTGGTTGCAGGTTCAAACTCGCTCCAGTCAAATTCTTTGTTCAACTTTTAAAAATTGTTATAATGCACCTAGTTAGTTTCCCTTTGTGATTCATGTAAACAAAATACTCATATGAAAATATGAAAAATCATATACAAATCTGACTCCTATGAAAATCGGACTCCTTTTCTCTATTATTGGTTACTCCCTTGCAGGTGACAGGTCACTCTCCCATAACGATCCAAAAAAAGCATCTTATCGTACTTACGCATGGGCAATACTACCGATGAGTCCATATTTCATGGAGTCTGATATTCACGCTGCACCAGCAGTAGCCAGCCTGGTCTGAGGATGAGTCTCTCTTTTAATGGACCTTTCTCAGCAAAAACAAATTTTATTTTACCCCCAAAAGTGTGTGGTCATTGCCCAAAAATCCTGGAAATCTAAACATGCAGACAAGGCATGGATCTAAAATGTGGGCCAGTTAAGTCTTCAAGAAGTGTATACATGTATTTAATTTGGATGTTGCCCGACAAATGGATGGCCATGTCGTATTTGGCCCCATTTGACAGCCGTGATACCCCTGGGCCTGGAACAAAACCTCTTTCCTAATCCAAAGAAGGAGATCATGATCACATTCTTTTTTGTAACTTGGTTTAGACGAATGCGATCCTGGTAATTCGACCTGCCCGGGGGACCTCAACTGTATTTTCATCGTTGGAAAGTACACATGTGACTGCCCGTACGGATCCAGACGGCTCGAAAACACCAGTTCATGCATAGGTGAGCCTATTTCGTGAAACCAGCTTGGTAAAAATTGGATACAGTAGTTGAAAATGTACGAAGCGGAACTTGTATGCGGATGCGAAAGACAAAAGTAGACTGTTTGGTTGCATTCAGTTTAACGGCTTTAAATAGACTTTGTCTTGAAAACGGAAAGAATGGACACCGTAACTGATTGTTGCTTAAAGGGTTTATATTTACATTCAGTTTATACCCTTATTTTTTTTTCACTCAAAAGGTGCGATAGAATTCAGGACCACGATCGTAATTGTTGAGTTCGTGTATCCGAACCTCGTCATACCGGCAACGTTTCCTGATGAATTACTGGACCCAACGACGGACACCTTCAAGAACATGCAGGCAGATCTTGAAAGAATTGTAGGTTCATTGTATTTTAAAGCTGTCCTGTTGGCTGGCTGGACCATGGCATATGTGATTCGATCAAACTACACAAGTTGTTTGTCAACCCTGGTCAATTTTTTTTTTATTACAGATTTCAAAAGAGCACAATCTCAGCATTTCTGCTGTGAAAACCGCATGCTGATACCATCTTTAGTTTAAAAATTATAGAAGTTGGAACACCAAGAGACGTGATGAAGTGATGTGATGAAGTGGCCCTATTTTGGCCAGTATCTCCAAATAAAAATTCCAGACGAACGACTCATTTAGCTTGATTGCATCACATATAGTGGTCCGGAGTACGTGGACAAATTTGAATTACTTTCAACCATTGGATGGCAAAACAACCTAACTCAAAAATCGGCCTTTGTAAAAAATTGAGTTCAGAGTTTGTATGTTTTTCCTTTTTGTGATGTAAGAAACTTGATGAATGTATAACACGTGAAATTTGTTATTTTGCACGTCTTTAATATTCGAGCAAAAATGGATTGTAGACTGGAAATATAATACATTTTTGTGGATAAATAAACTTTTGCCGCAAAATATGGCAAAGTTCATAGGTTAGCAAGCAAGGCCTTCTGGCTTAATTCTGGTAATCTTCTGCTGGTACTGTTTGCGCAGAGAGGTGATCATCAGGGTGCACGAAGTATAACAATTTCCCATAGGCAACAGTGATAACTTCCCATACTTTAAATTCTTTTAAAAATGCCAAGAACTCTCACGGGTGTTCAGGCTGCACCGAAAAATAATTAACAACATGTCATCCTTCATTTTCTTTCCAAATTTTGGTGGGATGCCTGATGACTTTTCGAGACATATGCACCCAAGCAAGACAACACCCTTAAACGAGTGATGTATTCAAAAGGGAAAAAGTATCCATCTTGAAAAAAGGATCCCTCCACAACATGGCTAAATAGCGCCACTTTAAATTTCGGGCCCGATTGCATCCAAAATGCTCTGAATTGAAAGCCCCAAGTCCGGGCCAGAGGGATATTGCCATATTCCATGGCTCTCAGAACAATCTAATATAGAACAATTTGAGTGTATAACTTTACTTCATGAGCTCGGCAGATGGATTTTGGGCGGGCCTATTTACTTGGGTTTACCCATAAGCGTGGTATAACAGAGCCTTGACATTTGACCCTGATAGTCTTAGTACTTCATTTCCTCCTTACCGCCCTACTACTTGCGTTTCAGCTGACCGAAGTGTATCGCCAGCTGTATCTCTTCATCCGGGTCCGCATCTACAGCTTCTTCCGTGGCAGCATCGGTCTCAATATAGTGGTGACGTTTGACAACAGAACAAACGCAACGCTGCCAATGGTTGCAGACACACTGAATGATTCTATCACACGTGGCGAATTGCTCTCTGCTTCCATATACAAGGTCACACCAAGTTCAATCAAGGCGCTTGAGAGTGAGTAACGCACTTGACCCTGATTTGACCCAAATCCAGGTCAGATGTGACCTGGAGTCACGTCATGTCGACATGAAATAAATATCATTTTAATATAATTGTCATTTAATACAAACAAATTGTCATATCTGTTGAAATCTGACCTAGATTCTGTGTAGAATGCAACCCAGAAGTTTTAAATTGCATACAAGGACAAGAGATTATTCCAATACAAATGATAAACGGCCAAACTACTTTCGCAAGCAAACATGCGTGTATATCAATTTCTCTTAACTGTACGTTCAACGTTTAAAATGGACGGGACTACAAGTCTTGCCAATTGTGTTGCACGGGAAGCTCATGAAAAAAAAAAAACGCAGTTTATTTCTGCATCTTATAAAATAGTGTAAACTCGGAAATTCTAAGTGCTCTGCAAAACTGGATGGAGTATTGATTTACCTTGTTATATCAACTGATGATGAGCAGAGCACAATGTTCGAAACGTCGAGTTAAACCAACTGGTTCTTCTCAGAACCACACAACTCACTAAGAGATATCATTCACATGCCGCAAATTAAACCTCCCATTCATTGATCATGTCCACCATGCAAACCCTTGAGGCTTACTTATGTCAACTTTCATTGATTCAGTACATTTTTTTTAACCTTTGCAGTTGTCTGCGGGAATGGCTTCTGCTTAAATGGTGGCACTTGCATTCCTGATGCGAGCAACTACGCCAGCACATGCAGGTAATAATAGTCATTTGACTAAAGCGATTGATAAGTCATTTTAATTAAAACCAAATTAAAACACAGTTATTGTACATATATATTCACTGTATGTATTGAAGTTACTATTACCGAGAATGTACCTGAGGGTGTGCGTATCTGCTGCAGATTTTTTTTTTTGCTGTGACGTTTTTTGAACCGTTGTGACGTTTTTTGAACCATTGTTTGCGTATGTTCTACTTGCGCTTTGCATTTAGAGTACACTTACCAAATTCAATCTATCTAATTGCATTGTGTTCTACAAACACGCTCGTGAATTCAAAATGTCTGCGCCCAGAGCGGCTTCAAAGCGTCTCTGCGCCAGAGTTGTAACGAGTCACTGATGTTTGTGACTCAAGTCGAGTCGAGTCATTTTAAAGAGGTGAATAGAGTCGAGTCGAGTCATTAGGTCAAAAGGTCGAGTCGAGTCGAGTCAAATGTTTAGCTCGAGTCAATTCGAGTCACGAATATTTGAACACTATATACCAAAATTTATTAAAGGATGCCATAAGTTTAACCAGCGTTCGAATCAAAGAGCTTTATAAGAAATCGCCCATAGCCAATGATGAAACAACGAATTAGAAAATGTGTTTAAAAATCTGGTTCCTGGATAGTATTTTGTGCGTTCTAGAACCATGAGGTGGGAGTCTGTGACACGTTGTATATTTGTACATGACTGCTATTCGCAAAGTGAAGTGAGCAAAAATGTTGCACCGTAAGTCATTGCAAATACTTTTCGCAAAGTTTTGCTTTTATTTTTGGGACTCGAGTCTTATTAGCCTTCGCTCGAGTCGAGTCGAGTCTTCTGATGAGGGACTCGAGTCGAGTCGAGTCAATTGCTCGCAGTGACTCGAGTCGAGTCAAGTCATTTACCCTTAGGGACTCGAGTCGAGTCACCAAAAAATGTGACTCTATTCGGACTCGAGTTGAGTCATTGACTCGAGTCATTACAACTCTGCTCTGCGCGCATGAATGAGGACTTAGCACTCTAGTAATTTATAGCTCTATGGTTCTACCTTATCCAACCCCCACGAATTTTGGTACATTCATGTTTTGGACCACAAGCAATCGATCTAGCCCGTATTTGCAACACTAACATTTTGCCTCTAAAGAGTAGTTGTGACATTAGCGGGACATTAATCTACATTGTCCCCCAATAACTTATGACGAAAAAAAGGTACATTTAAAGGCATTTCATTTTTAAATTCTACTTAAATATGATTATATTTGTTGTCCACATGTTCCAATTAGCTTAAACTTGTCATAAAATAATGAGAACTTTTGATATAATTAGGTAATTCTGTGAAAATAAGGTCACGTGCATCAGTCATATCAACCTAATTATTATTTTTTTTATTGAAGGTGTCTGCCAGGATATTTTGGAGCACGTTGCAATGAGACCATTTTCGATTGTGAGTGTCATCGTATTACACTTTTCTATTGCATTTTTGATACTTGTGCCTTATTAAAGGCACGTAGTAGGAGCATCAGTAATAGTAATAATAATAATTACCTTGGATTGGACATTTGGGAGACATTCCCATAAACTTGTGCACAACATTTTTTAAACTTAAATGTGCCCTAACCCAATATTCCCTTGTCCTTTTTCCACGAATGTTGGTATGTTTACTAATTAGACCACAAGCAACAAAAATAACCTAATTGCAACAATAACATTTTGCCTCTAAAGGGGGGCTGTGACAATAGGAAGACATGAAAATGTCTCCCTAATGACCGGTGTCTCCCACCGTTCGATTCACGTGTGCGAGTCCTGGTGACAAGTCTAGCTGCAGAGTTTTGTATACGTTGCAGTTTACTAATTTGAGTATCAGGCAGTCCATACAGTAAGCTGTTATGTATCTATGCGACACATAACCAAAGAGTGAATCAATTGTTCTGTAGATTTTTTATCCAAATATTGTCTAATGGTAGCAATTTTATGAAGGGCAAATGAAGCAGCACGACACACATTACTGATATGAATAATCATAGAAAGATGAGCATCAAATACAACGGGCTGTGGTCCAATGGTTACGGTGTTCGACTCGTGTGCCGTGGTGCATGGGTTCGAATCCTGACCGTGGGAACATGGTACTTGTGCTCTTGAGCAAGGCACTTTACCATTATTGCTTTGTCCTTCGGATGGGACGTAAAGCCGTAGGTCCCGTGTGTTGTGTAATGCACGTTCAAGAACCCAGTAACACTTATCGCTAAGAGAAGGGGTTTGCCCCGGTGTTTCTGGCAGTGGCTGCAATGTGCGCCGCAGCACCTTGTAAACCCTTATAAGGTGCTACATAATGGGTCTCATATTTCTCATAAACTTTATTTACCTTTCTTTAATAATTGACATAATTTCCAGCGCCTTGAGTACCTAATTGTTGGTAGATACGTGCGCTATATAAGACTCCGTTATTATTATTAACCCCAAGGTTGAAAACACTTGAAACTGGACATATTGAAGTTTTATCTGATTTGATACATGCGATAGGATTAAAAGATCTATGGTGACTAGAAAAATGAATAATGTCAGTTTGATTATTCCGGAAAAAAATTAGCCTCCAGTTTTACTGAGATGAACCCTGCTCAGAGTGAAGAAAATGCTGCAACTTTACCCTGTGAAATTGATCCCTCCTGAAATTACATCGTTCGGAAGAAAACAAACATGTGAAGCTGCTCTTTTCCGCACGCTCATTATTCGTTTTAAATGTAATGCTTTTATGTAAAATACTGCGAGAATTACCATTGATTTGGACCTTGACGTCATGTACGCCAGGTACCTAAATGTTGATGTTATTCGAAATGTAAAAAATGGCAACTTTTTAATTGCTAGTGCTGGCAACGGAATCCACTCACGACTGTTAAAAACGCTTCCATTTTTTGTCTGTATAGTTGGCACCGAACAGCCGCCGCCTACGGCGTCACCTGACTCAAGTCTGACAATCATTCTCACCGTTCTTGGCTGCATCTTCCTTGTCGTCCTCCTCCTCCTGTGTTGTTGCTTCTGGTTTTGCCTGGTGGCAGTCAAAAGGCGTCGGCAACGCCACCAGCAAATGTACCAGAGTGAAGACTCCATTGAGAACACTGATCCGTACGCATACGATCCGAGAATGACGCCGAGATCGGTAAGATTCTGTAATCCGACTCTAGAGGGGGGGGGGCTGGAAACCACATGTCACTAAGATTCCATATCGGACTCTTGAGGTTGCCAGGGAGGGAGGGGGGGCTATAAAAACCGCATGACATTAGGGGGCGCTTTTCAAAGATACAATTGCACAACTTATACAAACTTGTGTGCATGCTTATGTCCAACCTTCCATCAAAACGGTGCATTTAAAGCTTTTGTACTTTATGTCCTCCATTAAAAAACAAACATTTATGCATTTCCACTCTTGGAGAGTTAAAAGAAAACCTCAGAATCTGCATTTTTGGGTCCATCACCACTTCTTTTTTTTTGGGGGGGGGGGAGAGGAGGATGATCCAATGGCTCATCCCCCCCCCCCCTTTTTCCAAAAGTGGGGAATAGGCCTAGATCCTGCCCGTCCCCACCCCACCCCTTGATATACTCCCTTGTAAACGATTACCCCGTCAGTAGCAAAATCTCGCCCGTTGAGTTCTTTAGTTGTATGAAAAGACTCCCAGTGGATAGCTATTCTGAATCAATTTTTAATAGAATTGTAATGCAGTATGCAGAATTGGTATCCTAAAATTTCTTTGCAAAATATCAGACGGTTATTTATTACTCCTCATCACACTCAACTCCCTTCGGCAGTGACCGCAAGCCCAGTTTCAAGAATAAGTTAAGACAGGATCATGGTACCAACTTTTATGACAACGTGCTAGTAATGTGTGTTCCGTGACCAGCTTTTCAAAGCTTTCCTTGTCTTATTTTTGTATTCATTAGATGAAGCAAGCATCATGCCGTCCGGTGGGGCTCTTTGCACCGTATGTGGCTACCGGCAATGAAGCCCAGGAACAGGTAAATATGCCGATACTGCATTTTCCGCGCAGCATCAACATTAGGTATTGCCCTTCACCGGCATAATCTCATAAAGTACACTGTATACTTAGTTATATGGTGGTGTCCGAGGGAACACAGGAAAATATATAATAACCTTATTTACTTCTTGTGGATTGATTTGGTGTGAAACCTTTAACGTGTTTTGATTATGACTTACGGAGCAATGGTACATTCTGGGCAATCTGGAGTCGTACAGAACCGATTTGTGTTTTTTTTTCTCACAAATGTTATTCTTGCTGTTCTTTTAATTACCAGATGGAACGTTACCCATACGCTGAGAGACAATACCATAGATATTAGCTTGAAAACAACAAGGTCAGTGAAAGTCTTTAACAATTTTTGGAAGTATTTTGTTTTAAGAATGACCTGTTAAACAATTACATGTATAAGTAACAAGGTTTCTTTTCTGCAAAGACTTTCTGGTATCCAATTTTCTCGCTAGCCCTTTTGTGGGAATTTTTTTTTTTGATTCCCACTTCAAGAGTGCGTTTTTGATGGCTCCACGTCTAATCTTTTTCCATTTTGTCACATGAAGATAAATTGGACGTTAAATTGACGCTTGTATAAATGGGGTGGGCGGGATATAGGCGGGAATGGGGTGGGCGGGATATAGGGATTTGAGTAGGGGTTAGGATGGGGATGTGTAGGGGGGGGTAAGGAGGGATAGGGGAGGATAGGGTAGGTGGGTGTAGGGAGTTGGGGTAGGGGAGGGTAGGGGGAAGGAGGTAAGGATTGGAGTTTGGGTGGGGTGGGGATGGGTAGGGGGAAGATGGGATGGGTGTGGGTGGGGGGGGAGGGGGCGGGTCAGGGATGGGGTAAGGTTTGGGGCATGTGGTGATGGTGCTGTGTCTACATGTACATGTATACCCATTCTTTTTCTGCATTTGTGGGGACTACACAAGAGTTTTCCCATGGTAATACAAGTATGGGGACCCAAAGGCACTGTGGGGGCTGCAAAAAGGCTCCACAACTGGGTCCTAATTACCCTAGCAATGGAAAACTTCCCCATAACGCAGTGACGGCTAACCTATATACACATGTATTTATTAGGTCATCTGTTGACTTTTTATGTTGACCTTTAAAAACTGACCCCTACACCCTGGCACATCAACGAGAATCCTGATCCCCTTCCATCATGCCCATCCCCATCTACAGCGAACCATGGCGGCTTCGCTGTTCTAGTTTGTGTTAAAACCGCAAGGTCAGGGGCGTTGGGGCAGGGGGGGGGGCACTTGCTTCCCCAAATTTACCCCCTCTTGTGGACATCAATGTTCCCTCTCGAGCGTAAATGTGCCCCCTTGAGATGAAAACCAAACTTGCCCAAAAATTTTGAATAATTTGTTTTTAGTAACCACACTCACTATGTGATTTTACGGAGGTCAAGTGTCTGGTGAAAAAAAAAAACATGTCGACATTTCAGCATGGATCTGCCAAAAACAAAAAATGCTGGGTACCTTTTACTATTAAGCAAGTGCCCCTTTTTTGTGATGCCCCCCAGTTTGAAAAGCGTTCTGCAAGGTTGATACTTTTATTTTAACACAACGCTTTTGTCGTGAACACTGCAATGATTTTTTAAATACTACAAAAAATAGAAACAAATGCTTGGTGTTTTATTAAATCAATCAAAATTGTTAAGACTTTGAAATTCTTGGTTTCCTATTTAAACTCTTCACTGTATTATTTTCGTCTTAAGATTTAGATTCTTAATTTTCTTGTTTTGCTTTTTAAAGATAACAGTTTTTTTTGTTTTATTTTTTTCTTCTTTATAGCTTCTGCACAGCTGTTAGTTGCTTCACCTGAGGTGACATCAGTATCAATTCGACGACTGTTCATGGTGAATTTCAGTACAATTGATTAGAACATAAACAATTTGTGCTGAAATTATATCCGTTATAATTTTTACGATTCCAGTAACACAGTTAGGAAGTTTACATCATAAAAGTAAATTTTTAGCGTAACCTAAACTTGGCAACATTTCAGGACGAAGCACGTCTGGAAAATGAAGAAATGATAGAAATACCATTTAGTTTGCACCTATCAGCCTAGTAGACTCGCCACACAATGTGAACATAGTTATGTTTCCAAAAATGCTGCACTGTACACACTGTAAAAATGGTGCGTAGACTTTCTGTACCCACTTTTTTCACTTGTTTATTCTCAGACATGTTCAGAGTTTTTACACAGGACGAAAGTCTGTTAGTAGTATCAGATATAATTGTGCCAAATTCATATATTTTGGATTTTGTCTATAAAAAAAGACAAAGGAAAGTAGGACGTACAATATGTTTCAGGCTTTCTTTCCACAAGTCATTCTATTTACTTTTACAATTTATATTTGGTTGTAGTAAGAGGCCTTCGTACTCTACCTAAAACACTGAGCTACAAATCTAAACATATCGTAGATTCAAACATAAACACGGGACATCCTTGCAAGTGCTGCCTTCATGGGGTTGAAGATGAACGCACTGCCAGCAGCACCTGGGCAAACCCCTTCTCTTAATGACAAGTGTTACTGGGTTCTTTTACGTGCATTACACAATGCACAGGGCCTACGGCTTTACGTCCCATCCAAAGGACGAAGCAATAACGGTTAAGTGTCTTGCTTAAGGACACAAGTGTCGGTGTAGGCCATCCATTTGTGAAAAGAAATTTAAGCAAGATTACTCTCATGTTATAAGTAGATTAGTAGCTCAGTATGTAAATAGTTTCAGGTGGTAAAATAAGTCTTCTTGAAATTATTAGATACAGTTATAAGAAATTAATGTCAACACATCGAGCTGTTAAGTGAATGTGTGTTTACGCAAATATTGAAATATAAGAATTATAATCAGATTTTTTAAAGTTGAAATTATCACCAATCTATTTAATATGTAAAGTCATATTAATTGTAAGGTAACATAGATTGCGTTTTTCTTTTCGTTTATTGACCTTTTGTGAAAGACTGAAATATTTAGAACTTTGATAAATATAATGTGGGGAAACGGCCTCTGACGATGCGACGACTAGTAGCAAGTCTAGGGGAGCACTTCATCACTTTGCTTTCAAACTGTATTACATTTTAGCCTCATCACAGCTCAACGAATGTAAACATTGGGTGCAGTGAGACTAGCGCTTCAAATTTATTCTGTGAAAGCAATAATTTTGAACATGACCATGTAATGATTTCTTAATTGAATCGAATACTGGAACTTACTTTTGCAACTGTGCGACGTTGCGTCCGAAACAATCGGACTTCGTCAGGATACTGGTGACCCGGTGGGCTGGTCACGTGAGAGTCACTAGTTGCCTGACGAAATCCGATGGTTTCGGACGCAACGTCGCACAGTTGCAAAACGGTAAGTTCCAGTATTCGATTCAATTAAGAAATTATCCACTACTACTGCTGGATGACTGATAACATACATTATCATGACCATGTAATATTTGCTCAGATAGAGTAATGTTCAGATTAATACAACGTTTCTATAACTTTGTTTTGGATGTGCTTACACTGGGTAACTTGGTTAGCGTACGGGAATAGCGAGACGAAGACATTGGCTGTTGAAGAATGCGGGGACGCGCGGTTTGCACCGTGTTTCATTTACATGGAAAATGTGCAGCTGAGTTGTCATATTTTTTTTTATTGAACTTTTTATCAAGATTTCAACATTTTAATGGAGACTTGTTATCTCTTAAGAATAATATACCAAACCGTGGCTTGTGTAATTTAGAATAAATTTTAACTTCGTGTAACTTAGAATGAATTTTAAAAGTAAAAAAGATATATTCGTAGAGAAGTACATAATATTTTTATGGTGAAGGTACGATCAGTTTTAAGTTTGTATTATTGTTCGTAATATACTCCATCCATTTACTCGTATTTTTCAAATCGTTTCCTAATTAATTGTATATTCAAGAATGTTCGATTTGTTCATCCCTTCAATGTATCGGAGTTGAGACTAGATGGATCTAATATATTGGGCATGAGGAAGCATATTAATAAAGGTCGTAACGTTAGGTTTATCATTTGCTGCGTTCTTTTTTTGTGTCAAAATCGCAAGGAGGCTGCATTATAACTAACCTTCTGTAGTTTCAGATCATCGGGAATAAATCACTTTGAGAAAGCAGAAACAACCTGTGAAAATGTTTGAGGATATTTTGGTCGCGCATGCGCTAACTCGCCGGCCGCCTTGACCAGGATAAGTAAACCTGTCTGCCGAATACAACAACGCACATATAACTGCGAACAGTTTTCTCCACTATAATATACAGCTTGGATTTCTTCATACTTTATGGTGTAAATTGGCAGTGTTTTTTTTAATACATGACAGTGAAAAGAAATATACTATTGGACTATATCCCAAATCCTATAAAAAAATACTCTGTGCACGTGACGAACAATTAGTGACGTCACTATAAATGTCGTCTATAACAGCACATTATAATACGTACATGTCAAGTTACAACCAAATCGAACGAACATTATAGTTCTGTAGATATTGGCCTATAAAAGAATAAAATGCCCCTTTAAGGACGTCACATGACATTTTTTCCAACAGAGCAGATGAAAAAACAAAACCGATGTCAAAGATACCAAATAGCCGCCACCCAACCCTCTATAAAAGCCCACCAAAAGTTACCCTCATGATAACAATCTTTGCCTTCATCATTTCGAATAGCAATGGGTGACTACACCATTAATGTTTACAGTTACCTTTATTCACCACTTCCTTCTGTGATTCGTGGCTGCACTAGCACTCTTCAACTGCGTTAGTTCAAATGTCATGTTCACGTGATCTAACTATGTTTATAGTTGATCAGCATTATCAATAATTATTGGAGTCGTTGCTATGCGTTCAATTGTGGAATTCGGATTGCAATATACCTTCTGAATATACTTATATGACTTTCCAAACATAAAAACACTGAATTTTTCTCTTTTTTTTGATAAATTTTCCGCAAGGTGTCTTAACCTTATTTTGGATTTCCCGGACATGTTTCATGTTTTAAGCACATTTAAATTATGAGTAAGTTGACCAAACTGTGAAATCGAATGGTAAATGACTAAATTGATTTTGTTAAAAGCGTGTAAAGTGTTTCTCAGACGAATTTGAATGTTAGAGTTGGTAAATTTGAATAAAAAAATGTTTTAAAATAGCCGGAAAAACCTATATCACTAAGTCACAGTATTGTTTTTCCAATAATTAAAGAACATATCTCCCGGCGGTTTTTGTTTTTATTGAAAAAAATCATTTCTTCATTCCAAATTCAAGATGCCTTCGATCTGATTAATATAAATACGCACTGTAAAATTTTGTAGGATGATTGAAAACATAAAATAAATCAAAACATGTTAACTATTCTCCCATAGTAATGTCACCAATACATAATTGCAAGGACAGAAACAAACTCACACACACAGGATAAAAATACAAAAACAATTCTTTAAACAAAAATGTGTATGTACGTCATCTCCGTATGTGTGTTTTTTGTGTATAATTATATAATCTTATTAAGGCTAATTGTTGTTGTCAATATTTAAACAGACGTTTTTACTTAATGTTTTTAATTTTTAATTTATGCTGTAAATTCACATGCAATCTGACCTTCGGGCCACGATTTGTGGATGAATAAACCGATCTATCTATCTATCTATCCATCATTTAGTTGGTATTGCCCCTTAGTATAAGCAAAGGTTTCGATAGAAGTACGATAACCTAATATTTAATACAATACTACTTTTTGCACCCTGTTTCCAATCACGACTTAATGAGCCATAATTATCAAAACATTTATATATATTTATATTTATATTTATGTTTATATTTACAAACGAAGGATGGGAAATCAAATAATACATGTACTTCCAAGTTATTTTGTTCAAGAAAAAACGTACACGAGTTATTTTTTTCAAGAAAATACGTACACGATGGACGAGGAATATATGAATGATAAACATGTACATGCAAATCGAAAGAGATTATTGCAGTTACGCTGTTAGAATTTTAATTCCTGAATTTTGAAATTTTGAATGCCAACATACACGCTGACAGCTGATAGCTATCGACCAATCAACAGTCAGTTTCTTGCATGTTATTAACTCACGAAAAAGCTCCGATTGAATGGCGCACGGGTTGAATATAGCATGCGCACCAATATCAGACATTCGTTTAGAACAGCTCTGGTGAGAGCGGGTACGTGATAGTCAGACTAGAAGTTGCCGTAGTTTTGCAAGGAGTCCATGAAATAAACACTAAAACGAGTTGAGCATGCTGACGAAGGCACCAATCACGAGGAGTGTCAACTGATGAGCAGAGCGGAAGACTGAAGCATCCCCGCCAGGCCCGTCGTCTGCAGTGTCCGCAGTGACTGAACCGCCTTCCTTCTCTGTCGTCACTGGTCGTTTGGTGGATGACGCACCCTTCCTGCTGTTTACGTTGGTGTAGAGAAACGGCGATTCCTAGTATTGAAGACAGAAGAGGGACACAACAGTCAACAGTCATTATATTTGTTCGGTGCGGGGATTTCAAGTACTATCAATTTGTGATTGATGGTTAAAACAGACTCATCAGTATCACAAGGACTGACTGCGCACAGTCTGTGTCGATGTACATATTACTAATAAATCATTTTAAATGTGTACCGATGAACATGGATGTCCACTGACATGACAGGGGCATCCCCGAGGATGGGACGGCTTCATCCCGCACCTATTAACTATGACAATCCCAGAGATTTCTGTATGGGGGCACTTGCTGACCGTATTGATGGAGGGGTCACTTCACTTGTTACCAACAAATAAAACCATTTTGCCTCCCCCGAAATTCGGAGTTGGGGCGGGGATGACACAAGGTGGTACAGGCTTCGAGTGGTTCAGCTCGTTAGACTACCCCAACCTCCTCGAACCCTCTAACTTAATGTTGATAATGACAACAAACTTGTACACCAATTCAATTCAAAACCGTATATTCTAAAGTTGTTTGAAACTTTGAGAGAGTTGATTGGTTCCTATCGACGTTTGGGAAAGAACGTTAAGCGCGAATAGGTGTATCTATCTAATGAATGGCGCCACCTATTTCAGGATTGTCAGCCGCTGACAGTGTTTGACCGTCTGCTTCACAAAATAACAATTCCATCATCTAGCAATTAAGAATCATCACCCCTAACCGCTGGTACGTTTTATGTACAGATAAACTACATTTCATGCGAATCCAGCACTGATGTCATCACAAGAAAAACAACAAACCAATCTTAGGCCAAAAAAAAGTCTCCAGTTTCTGGTATGGAGCTTGCCCAAAAAGTGGTGCGGCGACGCGGCTTTTTTTTTTACCTGGTTTTTCTTGCCTCAAATGTCGGCTGATGACTGCGAATGGTGCCCGACTAAACTAAGTGCAAATATATGGGAGTCCAGAGAGGCCACATAAAGCTTATTCTCGATCATAACCCCATCCAAAAACACGTTAAAATTGTGCAGCAGCAGGATTCCAGTCAAACCAGTGAGTTTGGCGGTTTTGAGACATCATCTTTCATTTTTTTCATTTTGCCGACGCGCATGGCTACGGCGACGCGCGCACATACCAGAAACAGGAGACTTTTTTTGTTTGGCCTTACGTAAAAAGAATGAATGAACTCTGCACAGATAGATCGCTACAAGGAAGATGTCCAAAACCTAATGACAACTAATCGTCACATTGCATTACCTCGGTTGGGCAAGTGAATGGTCCGTCTAATACCCATGCTGTCGCCTTGCTGCCCACTGGCTGCACCTGCAAAAGAGCAATTTTGTCGAGTGTTGTTAACATTGAACACCGCTTTAGGAACGTAATATCAAAAATGACGAACTCGACGAGGTTGACATACGACATTGGCAATTGAAAATAATAAACGTTATTTTTTTGGTAACACTTCAACATTTCGCTTGCAGCAGGTTTAGATAGACGCTTAGCATAAAGCCCCCTCACTGAGGACTGGTTTTGTTAATTAAATGAAATGGTAATGAAACTACTCGCGCGTATCACAGACGGTTAAAACCTGGCCTACGTGAGACCGCTGTATATGCAAGGAGTCTATTCAGCATGATGGGAGATCTTGAGTGTTTTGTTTGGAGTGTGAAATGTGCATAATTTGAGCAACGACATACTTTTCATGAAGTTGAAGTGGAGCGTCATAAAGCATTTGAATATTTCCTCTTCATGTTTCGCCAGAGAGACTCTTTCATAATTATAATAATACCAACCAATAAATAGGTCGTTTTTATTGCAGCCATCTTAAAGGCGTGTGGTTTTGTTGCACGGGGATGCTTGGGTAGACTTCTTGTGGCTTCATGGCTACATGTTTTGTTTCACTTTTGTTCTCCTCCTTGGCAGCCCTGCACTGTCCACGTTCTGTCTTTCGTGTGTAGTGTTAACGTGGTTTCTTATTGTTTGTATATTCTTTTGTTTTAATATCAAATTTTATGTATTTATTGTAATTGTGTGTATAGATGTCAATTTGCCGAATAAAAAAATATATAAAATAGTATTATTACTTAAAAACAACAAGAAAACGCCTTCAAGATGGCCGCTGGATGCAGCACGTCTATATAGGTCTTGCAGCAGGATGGCCCCTGGCACAGTTTTGTTAATGCCGTAGCTGGTATATATATAGACCGAAGCTGCACTGCAAAAACTGTAGTGTTAATTTAACACCATTCGGTATCTATATAGGACAACACCAGTACAATTTAACACCAGATGGTCCTATATAGATACCAATGGTGTAACTTTAACAGTGCAGTTTTTGCAGCGTGTGCGGGGCATCTATATAAGTCGATGTGACATTTGTTTAAAAATTTGATGCTGTGGTCACGTGATGGCTACTTTCAGCAAACGGTTTTCTTCTGCACTGCATGTAGGATGCCTCTTGACATGTGAATGGTTTATGCAAAAGACGCTTTAAAATGTTTGGTTGCCAGGCGGTTGCCTGTCAGAATGACGTCACAGGGCACGTGGTCTATACTCAGGAGTTTGCACAATATTCTACAGATGCCGATACAGAAGATTATACAGGGTGAGTAAAAAAAAATGAAACCCAAATGTTGGGACCATTGTTTTAGTGAAGTTCTAATTGTAGCACTTCAAACTCAACGAAATATGAAAGCTCAAATTCATAAGCTTTCTTTTAGTACAAGAATCATTCAAATCACTTATGTAATTTTCAAGTTACGTACTTTTAAAGTGCAGTCTACGGATCACAAGACGGTAAGTGTTCTTTCAGTAAAACGAAAACAAATCACATAGGGAGGTGTGTGAATTGTTTTCGTTTTGCTGAAAGAACGCAAACCTTGTGTGCGATCCGTGGACAGAACTTTAAAACGGTGGTTGTGTTTAAAATTTCATAACTTGAAAAGTACTTAAGTGATTTGAATAATTCTTGTACTAAAACAAAGCTTATGAATCGGGTTTTTATATCCTAGATTTTGAAAGTGCTACATGCAGAACTTCACTAAAACAATAGTCCCGACATTTGGGTTTCGTGTTTTTTTACTCACCTGTACTTTGTGGGGAAGGTTTGGAATCATCCGTTGCGTCTTACCATATTGTTCCACAAGGACTTGCCCGTCTCAGCATGGCCCTTAGCGCTAAAGTGAAAACAGTCTGGTGCCATAAACGAAAGATCATCGTCAACCTGCAAGACAGCAAACACCATAATGATAGATATAATACAACTAGAAAAACGGCTATCAAGACTTACACCGAAACTCTACATATTACACATAAATATGGGTTTGTCTGCGGGACCGAGCAGCTTAGTTTCTGCAACCAACTTGTATAGTATATGGTGATGCTCATGCTTCATAACAACGAATTTGTTCTCTGACTACAATTCCCTTAACTCCTCTCAAAGAGTAGATGTGGAATTTGCTTCATTCCCAATTACTACATCGTATTTTTTTGTTCAGGATTCTGTTTCAAATTGAAATAGTTGATTTTGAAAACTAGGCTGGATATGTAGCCACAAAATATCAATCATTTAAAAATAATTACATCAGGCCAAAACTGAATTTTATATGCTTAGGCCTATGTATAAGTTGGCTAACGAACAAAAGAAATTACCCCGAGTGTTGGAATTTTCGACTCGTGCAGGAATGGCTGGTAGACGACAGTGAAGTCTTCTTTATCATCGAATGTCCCGCTGGTAACCATCGCCTCCAATTGACTCTGTAAGAAAATCAAGGCGTATTATTTTATGTCCCAACTATACCAATGGTCCCAACTTGGGACAGTCGCAAATTATAGTATGGATCTACCCAACTGTAATTGGGATCGTCCCAAACTGTAGTTGGGACGGTGCTATATTTAGGGCCTAACAGATTTAGACAATTGAATTAGGTCATAGCGCTGCAATTTATTTAGCAGCTTCACCAAGATTCCTTCGATAATTTCACCGACATGAACGCCTTGGCAATCGTAAAATTCATTAATTCATACAATGACATCATCAGCACACGAACCATTAATTTTGAAAGCATAGTTCAATTTCCTGATTCAGTACTGACTTTAGAGATCATTCCATTGTAAACTTTACAAGATCGAAAGCAGGATTGATCTTACCTGGTACTGCAGCAGCGTTGGTGTCCATTCTTTATCTAATTCATCGTCAGAGACACCTGAAACACATGGGCAAAACTGTCTACAGGAAAAACGATGAGACAGTGTCAGAAGATCTCCCTGCTCCTAGACATGGCTATAGTTGCTATATCTATTTATATTAATGAATGTAGCATCACTCAGTTTCCGGTAACCTGATTTCAGAGATGGCTAATTTGATTGACGGTTAATGAAAAAGAAACCTTAATTGAATCTGGTGCCGATGGCATTAAACTATAAGTGAAATAGAATGATGAATGTTTGAAATCGTCCTCTAAAGGGAAAAAGAAATCTTGTAAACGAATCTGAATGGACATAACGAAAGGTGCTGCTCAATCACTTAATTGATTGAACTGAAATGGAATTGAATTCACTAGTACGAAAATAAAACGCGTGTTCAGAGCTATTCTCAAATTCCGACGAAATTTAATGACCGATTTTTAGAAGTGAATGAACATTTTCGGAAATTGGCCGGGAAAACCTATAATATGAATTATTGTTTACCTGTGACTTATCTTACACAAGAGTCCCTTGAATTCATTGATTTGTCGGAGGTCGAGGATGCCTATAACATTGACAAAGGTACGGGGCATCTGCATATCAAGAAGGGATAAGAACTGGTTAAACATATTTTCCACTGAAGAAGCCAACGTGATGTTTTATGATTCCCGTTTGACATGAGAGATCATCCAAAATGAGCCAATTCCTGCGATTAAATGCGATTTGATTCAGTTGCCATTTTCTGGTAATGCGTACCTTTTGTAAATGTCAAGATAATGCTAGTGGACCCATGTGCCAGTGGCGTAGATATGGGGGGGGGGGCCTGCAAAACTTCACAGCCCCCCCCCCCCCAGCTGGCCCCCATTAAAGAACCTAAGATTTGTCGCTTGCCAAGGAAGTGTCTGCTGTCTAACTATGTTTTTGGAATAATGGAACAGAAGTGGAGTGAAGTTGACGATTTTTCTAATCGATTTCTACTCCCCTTTATTCCCTTGACTGTATAGCTTTATGAAATTTGAATAAATTGGTAAGAAAAAAGAGCGCCCTGTCCGTCAAAAGAGGTCGAGCCGCCCCCCCCCCCCGGCTTTTTTAATTTGCAGCACCTGTACTTTTCGGAAAATTTTGTTAGGTCCGCCCTTGCTGCCATGCACCCCATAACATGCTGGTGCCCCCTGGTTCCCCCCTTCCCCCTCCCACTGAAAAAATCCTTGCTACGCCACTGCCATGTGCCGGTCCAATCTATGTTAAAAGACCCATGACCGACCCGGGCACGCTCCTTCAATGGTGAATGTGTTGGTTGTGATCAGTCACAATTTCACAACTTGTGATGTTACTATTAACTTTATTGATCCTCATGTTCATTGTCGCTCAATACCTGGTCATGTAGCACCTGAATCGTTGCCTGGATATTTCTGACGTACGCACTTGGCGAATATTTCTCCGGGTTTTCGCACACTTTACATAGGTCATTGCCTCCGATGAAGATGGTCACCAACTTCCAGTCTTTCTCATAGTCGATGGTTGCGTCATCCTTCATCTTCTGCACTAAGCGTTCAGCTTGCTCTTCAATTTCACTGAAGGAGATTCATGACAACATTTTAGACAATAGGAGCATTTGCATTTAATATCCCCAAGGTAACCTACCGAATATCATCACAAAGCTTACTTCGATTAAATATTGTCCTGTATTAAACACCCTGTGAAAATATTCCTTCAGACTTGCTGACATTTAAAAGAAATTTTAAAAAATGTAGGTGCTTCCAACGATCTGTCAACTGGCTTAATGTTAACGAAATCGTGTTTAGTGATCAAAAGGTTGAGCAGGTTTATTCTTTACTTTTGGAAACGAACACAATGCATTAAAGTGCAAATGGTGTATTTAACAAGTTTGCTTTATCCGTAACGCTGTCAGGAATTTACACAAAAAAATTTAATTCAACATCATTTGTCAAGGGAATGTCCCGTAGCGCGCAGGGAGGTTTTCTTGGGCTGTTTAATTTCCAAAATGGTATCTTGCACAATATCAAATTTAAACCAGAGAATTTTTTTTTTATATTCTCCTTTTGATTTTTTTTTTTTTTTGGCGAGTCATGTTATCAACATTCACAGGACGTCATAATCGGCCCATTGTGTTCTCCGGAGGGGGTGGTGTTACAACTCCTTCCTTCTCAAAATGTAGCGAATAATGCCGGGGATTTTAAGGACCAATAGAAATGGTGGTAGAACGGGAATCGTATGCAGCTTGGAAAAATAATCGCATGCCGAATTACTTTCTTGCGTTGTGCTTTTATCGAGAACATCGTCGGCAATGTACATCTCACATCAATATATTGAGATCTAGATATGTTGGCCTGGTATACTATCACGCACAATGCTGATTTAATAAGCCGTATGGTTGCGAAGGCAAATCGTCGGCCGTTGAAATGCAAAGGTAATCCGATTACGTACTCAGAGCTAATAATGAATAGGAACCTTATAAATATATATTTGTGAGTCTTGAAAAGATTGACAGATATTGCGAACGCTAGTGTACCAACTTTCAAAAGTGCACGTAGCCAGGCCTATTTTCCAATTTCAACGAAAAGTAATGAACACATCACAACGATGTTTAGCACATACTTTGATCATTATGGGGGAAGTAAACCCTGAAAGTTACATGAAGATACAGTCTTCCAAACGGGAGAAATTAATTTTCAAAGATTTCGCCCGCCAACAGTGAACATGTGTGCGTATATGTAGTTTCATTCAAAATGAAGTGTTACGTAACCTTTAGAAATCGCCCTTCGCAACCGCATGACTGTACAATGATTGTCAATCAGGTTTATCGTTCACAGTTGTATAGTTAACAACTCAAATGGGTTTTCAGTGATGTGCATGTTTATGTACACAACATGCTCAACAATAGCAATGGGACCCCAAAGCCTCTCTAATCCAGTTCATTAGTGTGACGTCACGTCAGTTAAAACCACGCCCACTGCATATTAAGTAGCGTTGGAAGCATTGATACCAGAGTGTTTAGCTTTCCACATGGTGTTACCTGCAAACTTGCAAATTTAAGAATACGTCTTTCACGTGGGTAATATTACATAACAATCCCTCTATCAATTACAATGCAAGTCGAAATTCCCGGTCGCTGTTTTAAAAGTAATTCATCGGAACAAAAATGAACCCCATCTTGCTTCACAAAATAGGCTCTAGAACAAAAAGTACTGGACCGAATCGAGCAATATTAGTTTCATTTTTCTTCTAAAAGGATTCTGCATGCATTGGTGTGTGGTTTGAATCTCAGAGTAGTGGAAGTATCCTGTTCGGCATTTTTGGGACCACCCTGTATACTTACTATGCCTTTGCTCCTGGTTCGGCTACGTTCATTCCTGCATTGTCCGTAGGCCACGTCCCTCTCCCCACGCCGTAGCCTTTTAAACTTGGGTTGTATTTCCGAAGAATATCTACAAAATGAATGGGTTGACAAAAAGTACGTCAGGGAATGCTTTCTGAAGCTAATAGGCCCCCTAGGCGGCGATCCCGGGGATAGCGGCGATCCGGGGATTATGTCCACCCTCCAAAATAATTTGCGGGGGACGCCGATGGCGATATTCCGTACTACGCCAGGGATCATGACTGAATATTACTTGGGTTCTCATTTTTACATTTTTTTTTAAATTTTGACATCCCCTTTTATTGAAAAGCACACTTTTTTAAAAACATAACAACAAAACAAATTTTCCATGCTTTTCTTGACAAATCAGGGCGCTGTCGCTGTGTTGTCATTTCAGGAAGACACTGTTCAGTTCAGGGATTCTCGGTTAAAATTGTGAACCCAAAATTTGCTCATTGAAATCATTTGTGGAAAAACTTTGCTCATTGGCCAACTGTCATGTACTGAAACAACAAATCACGAAAGAAAAGAAAATTTACGATAGCAAAATATCCACAATCGTGGCAAATTTTGATGCTAAAATAGATGTAACATTGAGGTAACTGCCTAAAATGACATCACACTTTTGCTCATGAATAAGTAAATTTGCATAAGCATAAAAACCAATAAAAAAAAATACTGCAAGTAAGACTTGCGCTACCCAAGTATTCTTCAGATTGTTCGGGATCGAACAAAGGCCATGAATTAATTTCCCTGGCTAAGTCAGGAATCTTCATACTGAGAGACATGCCAGCTGCTGACGTCGCCAAAAAGAGATCCTTGCGTGATGTCATGCAAAAGGCCTACAGAGATGGAAACAATCCGGTCTTCAGAAATGGTGAGGAAACACACCTCAGCTGATGAATCTCCTTGTTCACCTTAAACTTTGCCATTCCATTGAACAATAGGCATACATGCAAAGTCCTAACCATGCTTAAGCTTCGGTTCAGGTGGAGCGCCGTAAGTTTGATTGTTACTCGTTGTGTTGTGATTATTAGTTTTGCATGCTGTTGTTCGTCTATGAATACTATTTAAGTAGTGTGTTATCTTTTGTTCATTCCTTGATTCAGTTGCCTTGGTAATTGTCTCGTGTTGTTTTTGTTATGACTGAATAACCTCCTTGACTGCAACATGTCACTCATCAACCACGTCGCATACGTATCAAAATCGGTCCGTTATCACCTAAGGAATCTCGGCTTCATCCGTAAATACCTCAATCGCACAGCTACAGAACAACTGGTACATGCTTTCATATCTTCCCGCCTGGACTTCTGCAACTCTCTCCAGTACAACTTGTCGCAATATTTAATTGACAAGCTGCAACACCTTCAAAATGCCTCTGCCCGTCTTGTCACACTGTCCAAACAATCAACCCACATAACCCCCATACTCAAGTCTCTTCACTGGCTCCCCATCACTGATCGAATTTCATTCAAAGCTCTCCTTCATGTATTCCATTCACTACAAGGCACTTCACCCGGTTACATCAATGACTTAATCACTTTGCGTCATCCAGCCAGAAATCTCCGTTCACGAGAACTACACCAATGGACTGTCCCTCGTACCAATCACTCGTGGGGTCAACGGTCTTTCGCTCATGCTGCCCCGGAACTTTGGAACAATCTCCCACTTGAACTACGCCAAATGAAATCTACATTCAAATCTAACTTCAAAACCGATCTGTTTCTACGTGGTTTTAGTAATTAATGGGTTTTTTTGTATGTATGCGCCATGAGCGTCATGCCTGGCGGATACCGGCGCTTTATCAAGTGTTCATTATTATTATTATTATTAATAAAGTACTTCTTAAGTTATCGCATTGGCAAGATTTCTTTTGTTTTAGCAATAGTGACCTGACCTTTGACCTGTCGGCCCCAAAATCAATAGGCTTGTTAAGACTATTAAGAACAATTCACAAACCAAATTTTCAGTTCCTAAGTAAAGTATTTTTCAGCTTACCGCGCTGACAAGAGTCAACCTAACCAAAACATAACACACAGACGTACACACCCATACCGGTACACACAGGCATACATGCACACAGAAGGAGTACGCTATCGCAATATCCCTACAATGGCAAAATGATAATTGAAAGTAAGGTTTTTGGGACACAAAGGTGCATTTCTAGTAATGCATTAAAAATGCATTACAATGGGCCCTTTAAAGGCAAAAACATTTATGACAACGACAGTGCAGTTTCATTCCCTTGGAAAACTAGAACGCACTCAGAGAGCGCAAACCTCCGCCAAGGTTTAAAAATTCCTCGCCATAATATATAGAAGGCCTACATCCAAAAGAAATACTCGCATAAATGGTGAAGAATCCTGAAAAAAAATCCTGGATCCAGACCCAGATCCGGATCACTTCCAGAAATCTAATCGATTTGTAGGCCTACTTGTACCAAGGACCACCCCTACAAAAAGTTCCAAACGTCCATTTTTTGAGTTATCTTGTCAACAGACAAACCAACCAACAAACAAACTAACCAAATCGATGAAAACGTAATCTCCTTGGTGGTGGTAATTAAAGATCAAACTTACTAGCAAGTGTCGGCACTGTTTCGTAATTCTCGTCCCCACCATGGCTGAGAAAAAATATCAATTGAAAAGGGTTCAATCATGACAAAGAAAACCATAAGCCAATCACGACATGATGAAGTTCAGAAATTATACGCACACGAAAAGGTTGAATGTTAGTACTCAGGTCCATATATACTCTGTGGGTCCAGGGAGGCGGAGTTGGGAGTAGGTATTTTTTTGTTCCGGGGGTGGGAGTGGATGGGTTAGGGCAAATTCCTTCGCTTGAAAGCCAAGATCAGTGCCATTTCGTCTTTATCCTTGTACCTTGTGCCCTAGCTCCATGCTCGTACCTTGTAGATCAAACTCCCGAACGGTCCACCGGGGACTAAATTTGAAGTTGTTCCGACACCCCTATGTTCTGACTGCACATATTCTATAACACAATCTTATGTGTTGCTTGTCGGAACATAGGGGTGTCGAAACATAGGGGTGTCGGAACACGAGCAGTCGTCCTTATGAGTCACTGTGTGTGTTTGCCGTGGACATAAAGAGACCCCTGCATGCTTATATTAATGCTTTTGAAAAAAGTTCAGAAAATTATACCTGAACGATTTTCCTCGGTATTCGAACAATACCTGTGGCACTGAACAGGCTCCTCCGCCATTTGCTGCCTGAAACACACAACGAGAGGGAAACAAGGGAAACGTGTCCGTTTGAAAAGAAATTCGTCTGTGAAGATGAAATGTGTTTGTTTTTCTGTTGTTCTGTCTGCTTGCATGGGCTTTCAAAAGAAACCAAATTTTCAATCGTTCTGGAGCAGAAAGAAGGGAACAACAAGCGTCAATTCCCATTATTGTCGGGCTCTGTAGTTACAATAGTAGGTTTTTATACAAAACGACATGTTACGTACATCTTATAAAGACTATTCATATCGAGAGAAAAAAATTAATTACGTATTCTAATTCTAAGACTGAAGGTTTATTAGAGTTGTAGAACTGTGTCAAGGAAATTGTGAAATGACTTAAACAATTAGTTAACAAGCTTCACGTTCTTCATGTCTTCCGAAGTGAATCGCTGGAGATAATTTATAAGGGCGTATTCTGAGCAAGGAAGCTTTCAGATAAAATATCCGATGCCTTTTGAAAATAAATATAGTTGAAACTCAAAACGTTATTTACCGCTACGGTTGCAACCAACAGTGCACGATCTGCGAATTGTCATTAAACGGTTGTTAAATTACAAATTAGGAAGATTAGTCATTGTTCTGTGGTTGACAATATCGTTTGTTCTCGATTACGTAATGATGACGTACTTACCGTCAGCGAGTCCCCAATGGCGCCAATCACATTGATGTCTGCAGGGCGTAACATATGCACTGAGAGAACAAATAAATGAATAATAATGACAAATAAAGAAATATTTTCTCCCAAATACAAATGAACGATTACTGTTTTGAGGTTTGATTTCTTAATCCAAAATCATATATATGTGTCAATCATAATTGGCAGTACGTGTGATCTAGTGGTATAGAGCACATGCCTCATGATCCTGAGATTGTGAGTTCGGGCACCGCCGTGGCCATGCGTGTTGTGCCCTTGAGTAAGGTGCTTTACCTAAACTACTCTTCTCAACCCAGCCAGGTGTAAAATGGGAACCGGCATTATTCAATGCTGGGAAGGTAACAGACTCGCTGTGGAGGAGGTGCGGCGATCCCCCCACAGCAGCATTTCATGGACTTGAGTCTGGCCCAATCGCTTCGAAAGAGAGATGGGCACTCCGTTCCTGTGAACATAGGTTCGTCCCCTGTTACTTTGCCATGTTACACTTAATCAGTTATGTTGTATTAGCTGGCAGGGGATACTGCATTTCTGTACTCTCTTCGATCTACCTTAAAAGTATTGCCCATCCTTTGTTCATTTTGAGCATTAAGATGTCTATTTTCAGTGCTTACCGGAGTTTGGAGGTGATTCCGACGGAGGAAGAATTTGACAGGGGAAAATCTGCTCCACGCCATACTGAAAGTATCACAAATCACAATCCACAATCATATATCATATTTCACAACACATTGAAATCACATGTCAATTACAAGTCGAATAAAGACCAAGTCACATAATGGGAGAGGACTAACGATCATAAGGAGAAGGGTGTCTTTGCCTCAATTCATTTTTAAATAGCGCGTCACGTGTGAATGACTTGTGATGACAATCTTAACTCTGCTGAAACCTCTACGGTTGCAAGCCATTAAATCGGTCCGAAATTGCCTACGCCGGCCAAATCATGATTTGCATGCCCTGAAATTCTTCAATATTTGAGCATAATGTTGGCCATGAACTTTAGAGTTTGTAAAAATTATGAATGGAAGCCGTGCACAACACTGTGAGCTTGTGTTTCAGTGAAATTTGGATGAAATTCGGGCCCTGAAAGTGCTCTATTTTACAATGGAGTGTAGGCACCGTTTTTCAAAATGGCAATGGGCTTCAGGTTCAGGACTATTGTAAGGGGTGATCATTTTGGGATGGAAAATTCTCCTAAAAGTAATCCGATTACCCCCAAAATATTAAAAGAGAATGAAAGATGATGTATTGAATGCCTTGGAGAGTTGTGAGTATTTTCCCGAATTTCTGAAGTTGGGCCAATTAACTCTGGGGTCTATGGTAGTTTATTTACTCGTCTGCAAGCCTACGGTTCGGTTTACTTTCTGCTCTTACCGGCCATTTTTCATCCCCCGTACAGTTATATCCCGGCAGTAAAGTGATGAGATCCCGGATGGTTCTGTTCCAGTCACTGTAGTCATCGGCAATGACACCGTCGAACTCGAAATCTAAAAGATTGGAAACATTGTATCATGCATTGGAGTATATAGCCTGCTGGATATGACTTTCCGAATTCGCATAATAGGCCTAGTCTTAAAGGGGGTCTATCCAATGTTCCCCAATACTCCCCAATACCGATGTTCCCCGAAATCCTTATAGGATTAGGGTTAGGGTTGGGGTTAGGGTAAGGATTTCGGGGAACATCGTTATTGGGAAACATAAGTATTGGGGACATGCACCCATCTTACAGATACTTAAAGGTATTGGATCTTACTAAAAACAATTATACAGCTTGGCTGAATTAAGCCCTAATGGCGGATCTAACAATTTGAAAATAACCCCTTTTTGAAAGTATAAATAAAGTAATAGTGGAAAAAGCATCATCAGTAACGCAACTAATAACAACTGAAAGAGAAAGTTTTAGGGGGAAGTGCATATAGGACATTGCCCCAGGAAGGCGAGCGCATCTTTCTTACCTTGGGCAATTCCGAAGACATCCACCTCTACAGCAAGCAGGAATATCAACGCGGAAAACAAAAAGGAGAACCTTCCTAGGTCTTTTGACAAAGACATGATGAGCTACAAGTAATTAGCGATCCGATACATAAATCATCAGCGAAGTAAAAGACACATGAACAGATGTGAAATAATTTTAGTTGATCACAGAGATTGATATTATAAATAGGCTACCAAGTCTATGGATACGGTCAGTATTGCATGCAGTCCATGTTCTGTACAATTGACATCCTCGTTTCGAGCAACTGCTATTAGCGTCTGGTTTACCTTGCGATTTACTTTTGGGATTTTAAAAGATAACTAAGATATTACCTATCTTTACACCACGTGATTTACCAGATTGTCTGATCACGTCATTTTTACGTGTGAAAGGGCAAACCGTAATTACAATGGGAGCCTTGTATCAATGTATTACATTGGAATACATAATGTGCAAATTTAAACTTAAAAAAATTGTTATTATTTGGTATTAAGTAACAGTTTGACATCCCCCCCCCCAATTTTTTTTTTTTTTTAAAGCAACAAATAACGTATTTGTTTTTATTAATATCATTATTATTTTTAGTAGTTTTTAAGCTGGGAAAATTTCCATAAAAACACAATTTTACAGCGTTCAAACCATTCCCCTTTTTAGACAAATTGCAATTGTGGTAGGAGGGCGCTATTTGGTTGGGGCTAACTTTGAGCAAGTTGGGGCAAAGTCTATAAGTCGACTGGTAGTTTTTTTTTGGGACGTAACTTACGCCTGTGCACTAATGCAACGTGCATACGCCTAGTCAAACAATGGTCAAAAGATCAGACCTGCTGACTTACGATGGCCGCGGATATTGGCAACCAACAATGCTACCCTGCCCCATGCTCAGGCTCCGGTTCCAAATAGATTACTAGATTAGTCCAACAGTCTAGTTTGCGCCCGAACTTGCTGAAGGTCGTATATTTATCCAAACATACCCACATGAAATAACGCCCTCCTGTTGTGTCTGCTATATATCAAAAAAGCTAAATGGGTTTCTTGTCCGATTGCGATGGACGTAGTGGCGGTTGATGATGAGAACATTGGCAGTTACTCACTCTCACAATTTCAAAACTACAAATAGATTTGTCTGGAGAATAGTTTAGCTGTAACTCAGTCAATGTAACAATACATAGATTGAATGTAAAAAACATGCCGTGCTGTATCTGCCTTAATATTCCTATTGTCAACACCGTAATCTGCAATATAGATATTGTGTGACACTGAAACGTTCAGTATCTCAATCACAGCATAAACAAAACGACCACTCTTTCGTCTAATCACCCTGCAAGTTCAGCAAACTTTTATAGTAATATTTATCATAGATATTAATGGAGTTAAATTTTATAATGTACAAATATAGATAATCCTTCGATATTGTATAAGAAAGGTATGTGTGTCTCTGCATGCCAAAACAAAACATTCGTGTGTCAATTTACTGCAACTTGTCAACAAAGTTTGAGTGCAAGTGGCCCTAACAGTTTTGAAGTAAACTCATAGGCGTAACCAGCGGGAGGGGGGGGACGGGGGGGGGGACGGGGGGTTGTACTAACTTTTTAAGAAGACCGGCCTTTCATATGTTTTGTACACAATCGTAAATTGGGGGCTCTCGGGAATTGTGGACCCTATTGTCCTCTGTTGTTCAACGTCCCCTATTGAATGCGGAAATAAACTCACACACACACTATTCGATTTTACGGAGGCCAAGTGTCCTCCGAGAAAAAAGAGAAAAAAGGTGTCTACATTTCAGCACGGATGTGCAAGTGCCCTTTTCAAGAATAGTTTACCCCCCTCCCCAATACAAATGACCTTGCTACGCCCATACAAATATGCGATTTGCGTGATATCACGATTCTTGCGTCTTTTGTTTGTTGATAAAATCGTTAACTTCATTGCTGGCTGGTTGGAACTGTTAACGATTCTAAACTTTATATAACTCGCTTTAATAGGCGGTTATATATTGTTGATGTACCCTAACGTGGCGCACTCTGACTTTTCCCCTGTCTCGTCTAGCTAGAGCAAAAGTTTTAACTGAAATTTCACAGAGAGTGTAATTTCATCAAGTTCTAAACACTCCCGTTCGTAAATCACGAGTTTATTTACTCGTCTGCAAGCCTACGGTTCGGTTTACTTTCTGATCTTACCGGCCATGTTGGATCCCCCTGTGCATAGCGCGTGAGGATATATGCTGACGATTGACCGCGTACGGGACGAATAACGACGAGAGCATTGACCAAGGCTAGCCTACCCCACAAGAACGGATTTTTGTTGTTGTCGGGTCGCCAGTAAATCAACATTTCCTAAAGTTCTAATTCAACGACTAAATTAATGCCGATTTTTGGAGGATGTGACATTCAAAGTGAATGCAACGGCACGATGCGACAAAGCCGTCGTACCGTCGATTCGCCGATTATGGTAAAAAAAATAGCCGTGATAGTGAAGTGAAACCTCTTGGTTATATTCAACCTTTTTTATTGGATTTTATGTTTTTCTGAATAAGCGAGCATTTGGTTGTTTCCACACGTCACGCAACTTTCGACAAACTCGCCCCGTATTATATTGTACAGTGCAACAATCTCGGCCCTAACTGCTCAAGCTGTTCTAAGATTCACAAGCTGTTGCACAAGCTGAAGCCAGGAGCGATTAGTTCTGGCCCAAGACGGTAATCAAGAGCGATAGTTGCATCCGTTGTGTAGCGCCCTTGCATATTGTTTGTTTTTTACTTTCTCTCACTATAACGCCAAATCATTTCGTAGCAACGGGGCGGGGCGACACCTTTCTCTGGAGCTCCATGCTTGATCACCGTAATTATAGCGTGTGTGTTTGCAACCGTCGGGTGAGCCATTCAACCGTTTCTCGGTCGCTGATTGGCTCCATAGGAAAGCAATGTTGCTTGACCACCTTCAGACGCAAGTGCAGGTAGGCTGGTCTAATTATTGTGCCATTAGCCAGATTTTCTTGCATGAAAGTCTTGCATGAAATCCATCAAAATGATCCCTGCCAAAGCTGAAAAAAGGCGACGCCGAAAAATGCGACGCCGATGGAACATATGGAACACGGTACTTTTCGTCAATTTTCGAGACAGACAGACAGACAGCCACAACGCTCGACAGCCCGACAGCCCGACAGACCAATCACAAAATGAAATACACAAGCTCATGCCATAGTTCAAAAACTAGGGGGAAGGGTAACACTCCATTTTCCCACGAGGGCGCTGTTCAAAACCGACATCATTGTAAATGTCAGACAATAGGTGGCGCTATTCGCTTCCTACGGGACGTTAAAATAAAAAGTCAATCGCAAGAAACAGGGTTTTCGCGAAAAATAAACAGAAATAGTGAAAAGGCACTTCATGTTAAACCCTCTAATCATGGTAAATTATTATATTATGCCCTTCTCTGGTCGACAAATTTCCGGGGGGGGGGGGGGCAAGTGATGGGGCAATGATTTTTTAAGGGTTGCACCCCCCCCCCCCCCCCCACCACACACACACACACACACACGTCCCCCTCCCCTATCTACGTCGCTTTATAATTAGCGGCTAAAGTTTTATATTTACACGTAATGGGTTGCACTTAAGCTCAATCTTTACACAATAAATAAACGCATGTAAGCCATTTTGAAACACTAAAGTGTGCATTTCTCAATAGGAATTAATGGTACATATATCAGTTTCCGCTGGCCAATACATTGTTCATGTGATGTGACAAACTTCACTGAAAGTCGGGTATGTTGTTCCACTTGTGAAATGGGTCTCACCGAATAAAATCTTAGACACTTGGTCAAAGGCCGCCTATGCCTTGAAAAGTCATCAACACTTCATTGACTCGATAGGTTAATGGTTCAATTCAATTAAATTTTATTCCGATAAAATAATCAACAACTTTTACTACATACATCAATACCAAGATAAAGAAACAATTAACAGTTGATTTCGTCTGGGATAGCTCAAGAAAGCCAATCCGGTTCGTTAGTGACTTCGTCATACACAAGCACGCACCATTACAAGCACCCATTGGCTAAACACTCTGGTATCAATGCTTCCAACGCTACTTAATATGCAGTGGGTGTGGTTTTAACTGACGTGACGTCACACTAATAAAATGGATTAGAGAGGCTTGGGTCCCATTGCTATTGTTGAGCATGTGGTGTACAAATAACACATGCGCGTCACATGCGCGTCACCCATTTGAGTTTTTAACTATACAACTGTGAACGATAAACCTGATTGACAATCATTGTACAGCCGTGTGGTTGCGAAGGGCGATTTCTAAAGGTTACGTAACACTTCATTTTGAATGAAACTACATGCACTCAGACATGTTTACTTTGGCGGGCGAAATCTTTGAAAATTAATTTCTCCCGTTTGGAAGACCGTATCTTCATGTAACTTTCAGGGTTAATTTCCCTAATAATGATCCCATTATGTGCTAAAAATCGTTGTGATGTGTTCATTACTTTTCGTTCAAATTGGAAAAATAGGACTGGCTGCGTGCATTTTTAAAAGTTGTAACACTGGCGTTTGCAATATCTGTCAATCTTTTCTAGCGTCACGAATATTAATAAGGTTCCTATCCGTATGTGGTGTGCAGTAAAAATTTGCAGAAAAGCCTCCTTCATGAGTTAATCATCAATAAATATCGGTTACCATTGATCGATACCGAGACCCACGCCAAGTCACGCCGAGTGACGCTAATGAATATGATAATATGCGATCGTCCATCGTGTTGCTGGGCCGAAATCGGTCAACCATAGCGCCTACGGCGCTATAGAATCTTTGCTGAAAACCATGCACGTGGTTTGGTCGGAAAGAAATCCTCGTCGAAATTTTCCATGTTTTAGTTCAAGGTGTAACACTAGCGATTGCAACAACAGATTAAACTTAAATTCGGAATATAATTAGATGATATCAGTATTCAACTACTCGTGAAATAACCACTATCGGAAATTCCTAGAAATTGATACAAATGCATAGATTTGGGGACGTTTTCGAACGATTTCATTCCGACTTGAAGTTCAACTTCACCACTAACCAGTATTGAGGTTTCAGCATCGATGACGGCGGTTTTTTTTTTCACTGACATGAAGTTGAGAATTTCTTCTTCCATTATAATTACATTTCATTATACATTTCAATCATACTGAGCATATTTTGTGAAAAACAAAACGTTTAAAAGGCCATGTCTTTGGGGTTCATGAATTCCACTGCTGTAGGTCTAAGTACTTAATCGGATTAACTTTGCCCATCAACAGGCCGCGCTTCGCCTTCGCAACCAAATGGATGTGTATGTTATCCCTAAATTGGAATTCTACCTTTTGACGCATGCGCGTTTTTGTCATTGACCATACTTGATTGCAGAGGCGAAAAAAATAAATGCACGCGCATAGGGGGATTTATCCCCGCCCCTTAGATTTTTCTCGCAGGGAACGCCGATGGGACTCCCCCCTCCCCGAGTAAATAATTCCAGTGCTAATAATTTCAATCACAGTTACTTCCATATCACAAGGCAGTTCCTTATCACAAAACCAGCTCCTGCTGTTTGATTAGATTTTTCTCTCAAACTACGAATTTACTTTGTGCACGGATCTTACAATTAAATAGAAAAGGCTAAACTAGTTCAACGTTGCTACTACACGCGAAGCACCATACTTGTTACCCGTATAGTCAGTCTTGGTTGCCTGTCATAGCTTGGGACGGTCATGACCACAGTGGGCGTGCAGGAACCGGACGATTTGAGGCCAGGAGTTCTCCATCGCTTTGGCATTTCCTGCAGGCGTACCTCCTTGCTCGATTACCCCTACAACAGAACAAGACCGACAGATATTGTCAAAATCACTGCAGAATATGATTTCTACACATTTTCTGTACCAGGAACAAATCAGTTTCTCGTTATAGTTATCAAAAACGTTCAAGCAATTTGTTGCTCATATGCTGCTGATGACATCAATGTGAGTTCACAAGCGTATCAGCATGTCACCATTTGGAAATGAGACGTGCGTTACCGGCAATGTGCCCGATATAATAATAATAATGATATAATAATAATATTACTGGAGTCTTATACAGCGCACGTATCTAACAACAATTAGGTCCTCAAGGGGCTAATAATCATGTCTTGAATTAAGTTTATGAAATATGAGACCATTGTAGCACCTTTATAAAGGTTTACAAGGCGCTGCGGCGCATACTGCAGCCACTGTCAGAAACACCAGAAACACTGTGTTACTGGGTTCTTTTACGCGCATTGCACAGCGCACGGGACCTACGGCTTTACGTCCCATCCGAAGGACGAGTCAAGACCGTGTCAAGACCGGGACTCGAACTTACACTCTTCTGAACAGAAACACCAGTCTGGTGCTCTTAACCGCTCGGCCATGACACCCCACAATAATACATGTATACCAGTGCATGCATGATTCTAAACGGTCCCTATTTCTTAAGGGTCCCTTTGCGCACGCGTGAATAATGCAGGAAACAAGGTACCTGTCCTGTCACATCATTTGGTTGCTATAGCCAGCTGCAGACATAATGTATTGTTTACATAAGCGCTCTCCCACGAGAGGTGGTCGGAACGAGACAGCCACCAAACTTCCATAATTGTGAATCAGCCTATTGGAGATACGCATTCATTAAATGATAAGACGGACTCAATGGCAAAACTCTTGAATGATGGTAGAACTGTTCATACAACAAGCCTTTGCTTTCCATTGAGGCCTGCATCTCACCCTGCATCTTAACTATTTTGTAATTTCCCCAACAGTTCTTGTGACACAAGGAGCATTATCATAACATACATATAACCCCGGTTTTCTAATCTAGCTTACCAATGCCCAGTGAGAAGAAGACGTCTGCTATTGGAGCATATGGGACCTCAATCAGGTGCCCGGCGTTTGGATAGCTCAGCAGTTGATAGTTGTGACATCCATGTCTCACTAGCCTCTGTATTGCCTCCCGTGCGTAGTGACAGCTGTCCCATACCTCATCGCCCTCACCCGCGATAAACATGAATTGACAATTTGGGGCATTTTCAAGCTGAAATGGTAACACATTGCAACTGGTTATTTCAGTGCGTTTATGGTAGCGTGTCAAAAAAACCCAGAAAACACAATGAATTTCTACAGATCAACAAAGAATGGTCAATATTAATATCTCAAAAAATACTTACAGCGCCCCGCGTTTCCAACTAAACCTTTTACAACTAACCTTTTAATTTAATTACTTTTCATCCGGGTTTGGCTTTGACGCGTTCGAAATTATATACCAGAGTCACTGTATGCGTGACTTTCATACAAACTCTATTAGGCAAAATTTTAATGTCGCAATTAGGTTATATTTGTTGCTCGTGGTTTAATAAGTAAACAAACAGAAATTTGGGGGGAAAGGACAAGGGAATTGGGTTAGGGCACATTTAAGTTTGAAAAAAATGTGTGCACAAGTCTATGGAAATGTCTCCCAAATGTCCAATCCAAGGTAATTATAATAATAATAATAAAAATGTATTGAGTAATATTGCGCCCATTCCATTCAATGTACACAGTCGCATAACATCAAAAAAAGAATAAATAAACAAGTGATATATTAAATTAACAAGTTAACCGATAAAAAGCTCGAGAACTTCACAGTACATTCATAATGATATGACATAGAACTCCCCATTCAAGAATATAAAATTACAAAAATCGATTAAAAGGCTTAAACATCTTGACAGTAAAAATCGTTGAATTATCAATGAATATCAAAAACCACACACATTAATGTTTAATGAGGTGGGTCTTCAGCACTGACTTTACCTTGAAAACTGTACCATTCTCCTCGCTTGCGTCATAGATATCCCCATATACTCCAGATATGTTGTTAACGCCCTCTCTTGTTAAGGAAGGTTTGATGCCATCAGTGTTCATCCTGTGGAACGAAATAAGAAAGTCATTCACACGGTTTGAGTTCACTCAGAATGCAGACCACTTTCATCACCATGTCGACTACTTTTATGAATGACATTGCCTGCAGTGATGCGTTTAATACGGTCATCAATATCCAGTGCTGTCATGAACGCCTTGTTACATAAAATTAATGGCTCAATTTGAAGTGCACATTCAGCTATCATCAAGTTGGAAAATTAGCTACTAAAAGCCAAATCGATACATGTATTCCAATTGCGCATGCGCATAAGATTCGACAATATATAGGGACCATTCAGATGAAATGGTACGCGTACGGGATACGTATGCGGGACACGTTTGCGGGATCAGCAGTGTCCTCAGCAAAGTCTGTGTTGTCTGAAGCAAAGAAGATGAAGGCGCCCTTCTTCAGGAATGGTGGCACATACAGGCCTTGAAAATGTCTGGTGTTTTCCACAACGGCATTGGCAAGAGCAGTCTCCATGAGCAGGGTACGGCCATACGAGACGCAGTGGCCCTGTGCATTGAGAAGACCCATCAGCATTTTGCTTCGTGTGTCATGGTGTACAGTCAGAGCCAGTCCCAGGACTTGGGGTTTTCTCTTGCATGTTGGGGTCTGAATGTTGCTGTGTCGCTGCTTGGCTTATACTTCATCTGTCTGTTGGACTTGAATCCGAACATGATGTTTTGACTCACGGTGAGTGCTGCTCTGTCAAGCACACTGGTTCTCGTTTCGTTTTCCATATCCTGCACTGGTCCCACCATGATCCAGCGGATCATAGTGTATAGTTCAGATGGAACATCATCGATGTTGCTAGATACAGGTATGGCAGTTTCTGGCTTGTCCTTCTTTGTGAAGTTTGCAATGCTCTTGCGTATCACATCTGCAGACTTGTAGATGGCCTTCATGTCATTCACATCGTCAGCATCACTTGTGATAGCAGAATGGACCATGGCTTCCTCACATGCATCTGGAGAGTAGAGGTCAGCCGATTTCCTTCTATCTGTTTGTCGAACAGACTTCACGCTGGGCAACTCAGTAAGTATCTTTTCCTTCAACCATGCTCTTTTGAATGCAGGCGAATGATTTTCCAAACCTTTTGGACCAAGCAAATTGACGTATGTGGTTTCAATGTCATCCATTGAGAGGTAAGCTTGTTGTTGAGTTTGCATACTGATAAGGTTGGTCAGTTCAATCAGACTTGCCCTTTGCAGTGGGTGCTCTTTGTGTGTGCTTCTTGTTCTGGTTTCATCTCGCACTGGGTGGAACACGTGTCTTCTCCAACATGACTTGTGGTACCTAACGTCTATCGCGTGGGCATCAGTTGGTGAGATAGATGTGTTCAACCTCGTTTTCAATGAGGCATCTTCAGACTTTTCTACAGCTTTTCTCAGCTCTGCACCAGCATTTTCAGTCCTGACTTTGAACAACTGTTGGCCATCGTCCTTCTGACAGAAGAAGCACTGTTTCTTATCCAGCGGCACTGTAGATGACCGTGTGAATGGCGCTGATGAACCAGAAGTTGATGGGTCTGGTTCATCCATTTTGGTGCTGTCTCTCTTCTGTCCACGTTTTCTGACAGTGCAGCTTCCCGTAGAAAGTGCATCTTTGCGGTCTCTGGCACGTTCTAACAGTTGCTTGTTAGTTGCATTGGAGTAACAAGTGCGATGCCAAACTGCCTTCTCTGTGCACAAGGTTTCTTTTGTGCTGTCTTTGAGTCGTCTATGGACTTGGGCGAAGTTGCCATCATGTAAACTGGCCCTCTCTTGTATCTTCTCCAGTAGATGCTTGTAGGAGTCTATTCTGGGCTGTAACACAAAGGCTCCTTTCGTAACATCATCAGACTGGCACAGCATGCACAGCTTCCAGTTGGTGGATTCCCGGGTTTGGTGCACCCCTTGACCAAGCTGTGGCACCGCACTCATAGTGTAGATAGTACTGTTACCTGGGTTCCAATTTTCTACTGGGTACTTGGGTGCCAGTTCGCTCTCTGTGGCATAATAAAATGAGGGCGACAATTGAGCATTAACTGGCCTGATCGCAAGAACAATGGATTTATTAATTTAGTGCAATATCCTAGAATGGTCAACATATTCTGTTTGTGAGTTTGCAAGGTACAATAAATTACTAATACTTTAAAAGTCTGGTCCCTAGCCTTATCAGCATGGGTAATCATGTCATTCAATACCTAGTAATCACCAATCAATCAACAGGTAAGTTCAACTATGCAAGGTAATATGAGCTGCTGTTACATTTTAAGAAAGCAGAGTACATGTAGTTCCGAATCTATATATGAGAAACACAACTTTTTTATGTGTGGCCATAATGTAATGTGACTTCATATTAAAATCAGGTCCAGTAAATGTACATGTATCAACATAACCGGCTCGAGTGGAACTTATGTTGTGAGGTTTCCTTAAAGTCAATAAAAATGTATATGCATGACAATCAATTCTTTAAAACATGCCGGCAAGTTATAACTCTAACAATGTTTTGAGAACATGAACTTTGGCTGCAACAACGTATATTAATAATAATCAATTTCAGTGCACAGCTCTGAAGGAAACTAACTAATGTTAATTGACAAATGTCTACTAACCCATGTTAATTGACAAATGTCTACAATATTCTGATATCCTGGGACCATGTACATGACAAAATCAAAATACCTTGTGTACATGTATATCACTTCATCATACCTTTGCATGGGTAACCATGGTAACATGGAAAACAGTTGGAAATACTTTGTGACTTACATTCCTGCTTTATGGCTTAATTTCCAAACTCAGGTTTCCATCAAACAATAATGATCCATGTAGTGTCAGTGACTTTCACTTTTGCAACTGTTCACATATGAAAGATTGTTGATCCACTTCTGCCTATGGAATAGCATGTGCAATGTCTATGTTACAACTCTCACATGCATCGTTACACTTACAAACTTTACACAGTTTTCAATCCTTTCAATCCTTAAATCTTCTCCAACTCTACAATTTAAATTATATATCAAAATGATCTATGATGTTTTAAGAATACAGTAATAACAATAAGAAATTTTGAACATACCTGTGGCATAATAAAATGAGGGCAACAATTAGGCATTAATTGGCCTGATCACCAGAACAATGACTTTATTATTAATTAATAACAGCGCCCTCTGTTGTTTGGGTTTTCTGGCCACAGGTCTAAAAGTTTTGTTGGGGGGGGGGGAATCATTATACCCTTTAACAGTACTAGAACGTGCAAATACAGCAATGGGAAGCACCACTTAAACAAAAATAGGGAAAAAACAGACATTTCCAGAAAAAAATATTGAAAAAATAGGCAGCCATTTTGAAAATCCAAGATGGCCGCTTTGTGGTTATGTTTAGCTTATTTTGCTTTGTACCACTGGCTTCCTCACCCCTGAAAATGTATGTTTAGCCGTTCAAATCATGACTCCAGGCCACCTGGATGCTGAGATATTGAGAAACACCCATTTTGAAGGCGGCCATTTTGAAAATCCAAGATGGCCGCCATGCATGCTTCCGGCAAATTGTAAACATTGGTTTTCTGATTGCCTATACCACACAGATTCCAAAAATGTATAGGTTTGCAAATCCCCCAAAAAAGTTAACGAAGTTCAATATCTGGACATAGTGAACTTGACTATATGCGGGATACGTATGCGGGATACGTATGCGGGATACGTATGCGGGATACGTATGCGGGATACGTACGCGGGATACGTACGCGGGATACGTACGCGGGATACGTACGCGGGATACGTATGCGGTATGGAAAAGTTGCTTGTTTAATCATCATTTTGCGTGGTTATTTTAACTTGCACGCCGAGACTAATGCGAATTTTCACACGAAATGTTAAGATAGGTGCATGGGCTTGGTGAAGTAACCACACAAATAGTGATATAACCTTCTAGTTTTACAAAAACCACATACATGTCCCGTTCCCACACCATTTAATGGTCCCAGTTAACTTCGGGATAAACGCGGTAGATAAATACACATAAGTCTATGGGAGACGTGGTAACGGAATCTACATTCTGCAATTCATTTTTACGCATACAAAAAGACATAGAACTTTCGTCCGCACTAAAGTTGGGGCACACAAATCACCTAAAAACAATTCGTTGTCCACATATTTTGAAATGTTATGCTTACTTCAAAACAAAACAATTTCTATAATATTGCTGGTAGCCTGGTACCCGCTATGATTTTGCACGCATATACAGCGAGTTGTTTATCCCGAAAGAAAAATGGTTCAATCTTGATATGCACATGCGCAGTTGGAATACCGAACTGGCTTATTACTGTGAGATCCGCACGGGTCATATTTTGTAAAATCCAGCATTTGTGTTTGATGAAGTGAGTTGACAATGGTAAGATTAAAATTCATTAAATATGAACTCAATTTATTTATATGCGAAAAACTATAAAACGAGCGAATGTTATCCCCTTAGAAATGGCGAAAAACAATTATTTTTGAGCTAGAAAAGCAACAATTTTATCTTCAAGACTTTAAATGATTATCATTGGCACTCACAGGATCGCTTCTGACTCTTCACCATTCACCTGAAAAACGTACGAAGTTATGGCATGGCAACCGTTAATACTGACTACTGCTCTCACCTGCAGAAGAATAGATGATTATTCAATTAACAAGATTTTGATATTTAATTTAGATTTTTTTGGGGAAAGGGGTTATGTACTTCTAAATCAAAATTCTGCTTATTAGCTTGTGTTCCTCAGATTTCAAGATAATTATTGATGTGTACGTCCTTTCACAATTTGTGGTACCTTTTCGGGAAAATATGTTGCTGTGGCGAGTGCGAACTGTGCACCCAGTGAGACGCCAACCATTCCAACGCCCCCTGGTTTTACGAATGGCTGATCACTCAACCAATCAACGGCTTCCTGCAAATCAAATGAACATCAGGAAATAAGTTAGCGCATGCGCCCTAGGCAAGGCTCACCGAACGGCGTATTAGTTACGCTAAAGTGTGTTCACCGTCCGTGACCTGAACATGTTGCCTTTTACGGCGTAGTCGAATAAGGGAATAAAATGTGCTTGGCTTGTTTTAAACACTTTGTTTAAGACCGGTTGGTGTCTGGATATTATTTACCCGAGCCGAAGGTGAGAGTAATTATCAGCATCCCGACTTCAACCGGTCTTAAACAAAGTGTTTAATACCGGTCAGGTACATATTTATCCCCATTCATAAACACCTTTTCCGGTCAAATAATCAAAGAAATGATATTACACAGAATACACTTAACATAACTTGATAAAACAATGTAAGGGAAGCCTCGCTCAAGTACTTACCTAGCTGAAGCATGGCATTATTATATACATATACCTGGCAATAGATCTGGCTTTGATTTTTGCTATGAATGGGAATTCGACTCGACAACGAGTTCAACAAACTTTGGACTTACAAATAGGAAGAATTTCTAGACTACAACCCGACAAGCACAGAGTGCATTGCCAGGTTTTGGTATATCGCAGAGTTGATGAGTCACTGATTTTTGTGACTTAAGTCGAGTCGAGTCGAGTCATTTCAAAGAACTAACTTGAGTCGAGTCGAGTCATTGGGTCAAGAAGGTCGAGTCGAGTCGAGTCAAGTCACAGTGTGTAGTCGAGTCGAGTCAAATATTTAGCTCGAGTCAATTCGAGTCACGTATATTTGAACAATATATAACAAATAAAGACAAGAGAGAAAGAAATTTGTATCACCAACAGTTATCAAGAAGTGAAACTTCGGTCTTATATCTGGTTTGGCTTGGGGGGGAACTCGGTCAGGGGGCGACTTGACACAATTATCCCCAGACAGACATTTTCTTCATCGTTTTCGTCCTATAGATCCCCCTGAATATCCGAACTATTTATTATTCATCCAAACACTTCAGCTACAGAAAGCCAACCTTTGAAATTAGCACCTGCTATTGAAAACCAGAATTAGGAAAATTCTCAATTTTGAGCAAAAAAAAATTCAAGGAACATGACAGATATATCATCGTGTTTACGTTGCAGTAAACACTTGACGTATTTTATTAGAGGGACTTCATTCATAAGTCGAGTTTCGCAATGTATACTTATGTTGTACAATTCATACGTACACTCAACGGTGAAAGGGTTAGTCCGGTTCCGGGATGGTATTTTGTGCGTTCCAGAACCACAAGGTGGGAGTCTGTGACACGTTGTGTGTCTGTACACGACAAACAGCTGCTGTACCCGTATTGTATTCGCAAAGCGAAGTGAATATATTTTGCACCATAGTCCTAAGTCATTGCAAATATTTGTCGAAAAAGTTTGCTTTTATTTTGGGGACTCGAATCTTATTAGCCTTCGCTCGAGTTGAGTCGAGTCTTCTGGTGAGGGACTCGAGTCGAGTAGAGTTATTTGCTCGCAGTGACTCGAGTCGAGTCGAGTCATTTACCCATAGGGACTCGAGTCGAGTCGAGTAACGGACTCGAGTCGAGTCATTGACTCGAGTCATTACAACTCTGGCATCTCGTGTAATATAAGACACTGTACCTTGAAGTATTCCAGATCTAAGGCCCATGCATTTGTAGGCAGGTCATCGTAGCCAAAGTACGGTAGAGCAAAGCATGCAAGGCCACGAGATGCCAGCATTGCCGAACGAAACTCCACCAAGCCTCCTACATTGCCAAACATGTCGATCACACCTGGAAACGGCCCCGACCCTGAATTAAAATACACGCCACAAAACAAATTATCAGTCGTTTGAAACGTTCGATGTTTTCCATCGATCTCCTTAGACCTACGACATCTAACAGTTTACAAGGATTTTCATTTTCAACATCAAGACAGGTACCTTTCGGTTTGAACAAAGTCCCCCTCAAGCGTCCGCTGTGGACTGTGATCCTCTCTACGTTCTGGCCCATGTACCGCCTCTCAGCTGTGGTAGTAGCCTCTGGTTCAGCCGTCTGTAGTGTCTCCGTATCCAGGTGGCCACGATACAACGATAAGTTGACTAACACTGGTTTTGTGGCATCCGTGAGCAGAAACCGAACGCCCAAACGCTGGCCTGCCAAGGGTTGCATGCTCCAGAATAGCCCCATCGGTTCAGCCCCTAAAATGAAACAAAAAGTTACGGGTATAAACATCTGTGCTGTGGAAAAAAAAGAAATTAGAATAATATCAAAGCAGGGGCGGATCCAGGAATTGTGGCGGGGGGGGGGGGGGGGGGTGTTCAAGTCCTTCAGATTTGTTTTAATCAGCAAATCAGTACTGAAATGTAGACCGGTTGTTTTTCTCCGGACACTTGCCCTCCGTAAAATCAACAAGTGTGGGGGGGGGGGGGATACCATCTTCAAATGGGGGCGCTGTTCAAATCCAACGATGATGCACACTATCACACAATAGTGTGCAAATAACCAACACCCCCCCCCCCTTTACCTCGCTGGCTACGCCTCTGTGTCCGAGTGTTGCGGACAGGCGGACGTATAGGTAATTATTATTACTATAATTGTCATAATTTATGGTTGAACCCCCCCCCCCCCGATCCGCACCTGCAACGAATGTGGAAGTCTGCACCAACAAGTCTTACCGGTGTACGTCCCGCCTAGTGACATCTGATCTGGGACTGACACGACTCCCCTATCATCAGCGATGTAATGAGCATGACCCTCAAACTTCAAAACATTATTTCGAATTTTGTGCTCCAAGAAAGATCTAGTCAAACAAATAATGAAAGGATACATTTAAAGAGCTCTTTAAGAAAGATTCAACTGAATCAAAATTGGTCATTGGGTAATATCATAGGCTTTTTTTTAACAATAAAGTGCAAACCAGACGCAATTAATCGCAAAAGAATCGCGCTACCAAAAAATAACACCCAACCAAATTTAAAACGTTGTCCCATCACTCCTAAGAAATGGACATTGCACGGGATGTTTAAAGTCGCATACCCCGTATCTTCAAAATGATTTCCCCCCTTGAATTTCTCTCAACGATTTTCCAATTTAAATTTCATGTTTTTAACACACAAAAAAACCTTGTCTGCAAGCCCCTGAAAGGAGTTTCATTTTGCGCAAAATTAAGCCCACCCTGCGAGAGCCCAATTACGTTAGGCGAGCCCTCAAATTAGAATCCCTCCCCGGACCATTCGGGGTTGATCCCGCCCAGTATGTTGAAGGGATTGGGACCTTGCATGGAACCGATCGGCCTGGATTAACTCCACCAGGCTACTGCGCCATGGCTCTGGCTCATCACAAAGGAACCAATTTGCGACGAGCTAATCCTCCAGTAGGCAACAATGACAGTGACGAGCTTCATAGAAGTTGCCGCTGGTAATCCCAGTGGTCCGAATAATCCTCCGACAATGGCCAGACTTCAATTTATGTTACCTATTGTGAAACCCTGAGTCACCAGTTTGGACCGATTGGGGCGTCACGCTTCAGTGACCGGGTGGCTTCTGGCTTCGTACCGATTGGGGTGAAAGAAATTAGCATACTGGACCCGGTACCCGAACGGTCTGTTATCTGATGGCTCGCCTTATTGTCTGGCAGCTAATAATTCAAAACATTTTGAAGAAAATAATGCAATCATTAAATGTCGGTGGAATTTTTGTTGGACGTCTCAATCAAAAAAAGTGAATAACCTTTATATTTCTATTTTCTATCAAAACAAAAACTATTTTTCGAGTCTAAACTTGGAAATAGCATGGGAATGCATCTTTAAGTAAGGAAGTTATTTTTTAGATATTATGCGTTCCCTCCTGCACCACTGTTTTCGATTGGAATGGAACATCAGTTTAAGTTCGACACAGGGGTGGCGGAACCGGGAATCGGGGGGGGGGGGGGGGGGGGGGCACTTGCCCAGGCCAACAAAAGTGCCCCTCTCACGGTTATAAATGTACCCCCTCGAGATGAAAACAAACCTACCCCTCAAACGCATACAGCATGAAAACATACGATCGCGCTACAAATAAAATTGTCTCTTCTCTTGTAATGCAAAACTGCCCCTCAAAAACACAAGTACGCCTCTCGCATTAACAAGATTGTGCACCTTCTCGAGATGGAAAACTACCCCTCGAAAGCACAAATACCCCTCTCGCAATAATTCAATTGTGCCCCCTCTCAAGATGAAAACCGGCCCATAAAAATAATAGTGCTCTTCTTGCGAATAAAATGGTCACTGAACTGGCAATCAAAAGCAACAGTGCCCCTCTCGCGATAAAAAAAAAGGTCTCTCTACATAACTAGGTAAAAGAAACACAAAGAGCAAGATGGAAAACGTATTCATAATTAGTTCCTTGTCATATAGGTTCATAGCGAAATAAACGGGACCATATTCTTTTCCTCCACTTTCACACCGACGGAAGGTGCCCTTTTTCTGAGCAAGTGCCCCTTTCTGGTGTGCCCCCCCCCCCCCCACTTTGAAAAGCGTTCCGCCGCAACTGGTTAGACGAGACTCTGTAAATCTACCGTTTCCAACACAAGCTTGAAAATACAAAATAACAGTGTCAAATTATCAATAATCACATTGTAGCCTACCCTCATTGTCTCTAAATGCGGAGTTCAATGACCTATGTCAGTCAAGGGTTTAGTCTTCCTAAAGTATTTAGAGGCCACCAGAACAAAATACTTCAAGCAGAGCTTTCTGAGAGATTACAATCGTCGCTTCTCCTTCAGTTCTACGTGTCAATTAAAAGTCAGGTTGTTTAAGCACCTTTAAGCCTTTGTGGACAAAACTATAGTTTTCCAACATCAGGCCTAGTCAAACCGTACGTTTTTTTCATGTGATGATGAATGTTCCCCGTTTTATACCAATGAATGAAGGCTTCTATATTTACCTGATGGTGACTCGGCTGTTAGACTCCAATCCAGTCGCTTGTACTGTGACGATTGTGTCGACCAAAGAAGAGACGGGAGTGACTGATAAACTGGCAGACATGGCAACCCCGCTGTGCGGTTGTGAGGTAGTCATCTTTCTGACGAAAAAGAGGAGAAATATGACCTCCTGTCTGAAGTACTTCAAGGGTAAACGTACTACAGGGCGAGTAAAAAAAAAAAAAAGTCGGAGCCTTTGTTTTAGTGAAGTTCTGCATGTAGCACTTTCCAAATCTAGGATATGAAAGCAAAATTCATAAGCTTTCTTTTAGTACAAGAATCATTCAGCTCACTTATGTAATTTTCAAGTTACGGAATTTTAAACACAACCACCGTTTTAAAGTTCTATCCACGGTTAACAAAAGGTAAGTGTTCTTCAGCAAAACGAAAACAAATCACATAGTGTGATGTGTGTGTGAATTGTTTTCGTTTTGCTGAAAGAACGCACACTTTAAAATGGTGGTTGTGTTTAAAATTCCGTAACTTGAAAAGTACATGGGTGATGTGAACGATTCTTGTACTAAAAGAGAGCTTATGAATTGGGCTTTCATATCCTAGATTTTGAAGGTGCTACATGTAGAACTCCAGTAAAACAATAGTCCCGACGAAGGGTTTCATTTTTTTTTACTCACTCTGTATAAGTGATGCACTGCAATGTCCTATGGATTAGCATTGGCTGTTATACTAAAATCAGCTAAGAAAAGGTAGTAAATAAAAGTAAGAAATGTGCACGTAACGCCTGTATGCCCTATAGCTAAATACTGCAGCCAGTGGCCATTATGCTAACCGCTGCAAACACACAATTTGATTTCCATGCCCACACATGCATAGGCAATACGTGTGACGATTTTCGATGAGTCACGTGTCTGCATGTTGTAACACGGGTGAAACATGGCAAAAGGTAATGACTTAGCTTACCTCCGACCTGTGACTTTGCTTTATGATCATTATCCTACCTTTATCATGTTAATATAGACCCAGTAGCTTCAACTTGGGCAGGTTGCTTCAGTACGGGCCTCCCCGACAAAATACACAAATTTATTCAAGGCTTCCACGATATGACATTATAGGGTGACAATGTTATCATGCCTCGATCTGCTGATACCCCTCCACTCTGTTATTTGCTTAGAATGTTATTACACACTTATAATTTTAAGTAACACACGAGCAGGCGTTCGTATCCACGCAGCACTCGATAATATTTGGATTTGTGCTTTGCCCCAGGGCATTTTCTCTGTAAGTAAGATTTTTTTGGTCAACATGTTGGAATTCGATACAGGGAACCATGTTAGGTCCAAAGGTTCAAGAAGCGAATCATTCGGATCTAAAAATAGCGTCACAGAAATCAAAGCTAGGGAAACCTCAACACATAATGTAGTCGTGGTGCTAGACGTTCTTAGCGGGGTAGTTCCCGGTAGACGGTGCGCGTAATGTTTTTCCTATACAAAAATACAACCCCGAAAATACAACCCTGAAACATTTGCCTTTTTATCAAACACGTGAACTGTGAATTTTTATGTTTTGGGTATCAGATTCAAGCTGAGAGCTTTTTCTTTCAAATACTGAAAAACATAAGGTATTTCCATCTAATTCATTTGTGTTCTTGTCATATTATGTGCCGTGGTGTTTGTAAGGAATAGGAAAGAATGTGCTACATAGGTACAGCAGTGCAAATCCCTTAACTGTGGTAATGCCATTGGAATGGGCCAAAAAGGAGTTGTGTTACATAACTGGCATTTTCTCAGTAACCCAATGTGCTATTTTCGTGATTTTTTTTTTTAGTATTTGAAAGAAAAAGTTCTCAGCTTGAATCTGATACACAAACATACAATTTACATATCACGTTTAAAAAAAGGCAAATGTTTCAGGGTTGCATTGTTTGGGGGGTCACCGTGTATAGGAGGGTGAGGGGCAATTATCATAAATGGGCGTATCTAGACCCTCTCGCATGCGTGTTTCTGAAAACACAAGAGTGTGAGATGGTCCGCTTAACATATATATCGACGCTGCATTGCTCATGTACCTTTGCACAGTTACATGTACATAGGGAGTTTCTCAGACGTGGGATTCTGTGTTACGTATAGAACAAGGAAACCCATACAATAAAAAAAAAAGCATCCGAAAGATAAATCTCCAATGAACATACAACTGGTTGACGCATGTCACTCCCCCGCCCGTGCTCATTAGTAATTGAGCTTGGGACATGTAGGCACTCTGAGAAATTCATCATTATGCATGGAGCTATACAAAAGTAAACAGACAATCTTAGGTGCTTTTTTTCTGAACTAAAACCACCTTGAAAATGAGTACACGTGATCTTGGTCAGGGCCACACATTCCTGGACTAGGGATTATGAATAAACAAAGACTTCATAAAACAAAATAAGTAACAATACAGAATAATCATGATAAAATGGCCCAGCCCAGCACAGGTTAAGGGTCTGGAGGTCGAGACTGTGCTTGAATGAGAACAAATCCACCCAGGGTCGGAGGACAGACTGACAGTGGTTGAAACGCAAAAAGAAGACGTAAATAAAAAAAAACATAAAAATATACCACGGGCTAGTGGAAAAATTAATAAGTATGAAGTTAAAATGTTCTGGCATCTGAGACATCACTTAAACTTTAACTAAATTTAAATAATAAAAATGTTTGCAGAAGATATAAGGTAACTTAAAAGTGGAGGAATATACATTGTTTCACCGATCATTCTTGTTCATGCTTGTTTCAGCATGGTCAGGGCCTAATGTACATGTACCATATAGAGCAAGGAACAGATGCATAAAGCTGGTACTCAACAACACGGACTTCTATCTCATTATGTTTGCATCTGCAACCTGTTTGTGTGTGGCAATTGTATTTATTTCAGCAGCAAATTAACCAACTGATCACAAGTACTAGCTAAAGGTCTGCTCAGGTCGCCACGATCCGTGCTCAATGGTCTAACCATAGAGCTATTCTAACATACTAACTCTATGTGTTCGTGTGCCTTTGTTTATGCGGGTGTAAATCGAGGACCATGCACGTGCAACATCATCGATGAAATGAGGACAGGAACCAAATCGAGGACTCCTCGGTTGGAAAATGTGTACAAAACCAAAGAGAGCTGTAAGTTGCGAAAGAAAAAGGGCCAGAGGAACAATAGAAAATCCTCGATTTACACCATAAACAAACGTGCGTGTACATGTATGCACATGTGCGCGATTCGCAAAACAAACATTCATAATTGTGCGCTACTGCATTTCGCCGACCTCTGAACTCTAGAAACGCCCCTTTTATGATAATGGCCCCTAATACGCTCCCAGGCAAAGCAAAATACACAGACGGTACAGCCTTTGAACCGCACGCAGCAGCATTTATTTGCCCATTCACAAACTTGAACCTTACTGGGTCGACGAACCAACCGATCTCTACACTCGGCATGTCCACGCAATTAAGAAGTAATGAAGGTGTAGGTTTTAGTTAAACTGTCCTACTCAACTCCGAGTTTATTAAGGGAATAAATGTGTGCTCCGGAGGTTTTTATCACTCTGTTTAATACCACTTAGAGTCTGGGTGCTGATAATTACCCGAGCCGGAGGCGAGGGTAATTATCAGCACCCAGACTCTAAGTGGTATTAAACAGAGTGATAAATACCGACGGAGTACATATTTATTCCCATTCATAAATACCTTTTCGGTAAAAAAAAATCATATAATTCGTGCAAAACATCCCGATTTTCAACAAATTCACTTTATGCTTTTTGAATCATCCCTCCTGCAAAATAATGGAGTGTTCAGCTGGCGAGTAAGATGAAAACAACCCTTTTATGGAGATTGACGCGCGCGTATGATGTTCTATGCGATGTCGCGCAGAACGCACCTGGCGCGTTGCGTTTTGAATTTAGAACTATAAAATTCTAACTCCCTGGTAGTGTTGCGCATGCCTACGTGAGGATTGTGAACGTTCAACCAATTAAACGATAAGAGGCACTGGATTTTTAGGAGTCCACATTTTATTGTGACACTGGAAAAGTGTTTAAGACCAGCTAGCCATGTCTTTATCATCCGTTTAATACCGGCCACGTGACGGGCTCTCGACCAATAGGAATGGCTAAACTGTCTGAGGTATTTATGAATGAAAGTTAAATGACTCACCAAGTTGAACTGAACTATGTACGCTATGTACTTTAAAGGGAACGCTACATAAGCCTACATGAGTGACCAAATGAAAAGGGGAGAACTCGAAAGTTGAAGTTAACATTTACGGTAACAGTTCCAACCGTCCGTTAATATGTTAACTTCTGTTAACGATATAAAATGCAACTAATTGTTAATAGGGCCTTACTGGGTCGACGAACGAACTACTTAGCAAGTTGATAATAAGCAGGACAAGTTCTTCTCAGAACTAATATCTTCTAAGCAGTAGTTATTACCACATGGTGTTACCGCAAAACCGAAACGATACCGATACCCCACCATGCAAAGCCTCAAATCTTATATTAATTCATATTGTTTCCTTCCATGACGAGTGCAACCTAGTGTGAGATGATTTCAACCAAACACGCCCCCCGCTTTCCCAGCTGTTTTTCGATTTTCAAGCGGATATTTAAAGATTTTACAATAACAGGCAAACTCGATCCCCCCCCCCCCCCTCCCCCAATTGTCAAACAAAACAAACGAGTTGTAATAAATACCTACTGTTTGTGGACTTCGGTCGACCACGCAGTGCAGTAAACTAAACATTAATGTTAGTCTTGGACTGAGTTCCGAGAGTTTGTTTGGTCGTCATCATCATGTGCTCGCTTGTATGTGTAGTCAAGCCACCTCGGCGGTAGAGGGCGCTATCAACAAGATGAATAACCTTCGGATCTGTGGGATACGACTAGCTGCAGCTAGACTTGGCCAAGTCTGGGTTGCGCTCGGTCTGAGCCTATAATAGTAAATCCACTCACAGCGCATATCGCATACTTACAGTACATAACGCGCGCCCTCATGCGTCGAATCCGGACCATCATGTTAAAAACGTACATGTACATGTTATTTTCAAGTGATGGGAAACAACATGGCGCTGCAAAATCGTACCCACGGGGCACGAGGTTGGATCAAGTCGATATTGCTAACTTTTGCACCACATGTATGTACATGCTCTGGAATACATGCACACATATGTACATGTACGTATAATACGCGTATTGTAGTACATACAGTGTGTGCGCATTATTTTACGGCACTGAAGTGGAACGCGCGCTGAAGTGTACCTTGTCACTGCTTGTCGGGCTTCTGGAAAGACGTAAACTTAGTGATTTTTGCTACTTTTTTTTTAAATTAAGATACCGACTTAAGGCAATTCCGACTTGAGTCAAGTCTAAGCTGCAGCCGGCTGCGGACGCTTCCAATTGACACTTGTGTAATTTCAAGCCGTAGCCCAAGTAATTCGTACGCGGCATAATCTTGTCTTTGTAATGTTCGCTCTCTGCTCTAGCATACTCTCGCGCAGGAAAAGGCTGCGCTGCACTGGGGGAACAAAAAACAAATCCAGTCTTGAAATCAAGACTATGAGAACTTCATCGCGAACTCTTTACCCGCGACTTTGGTCGTTGCTGCAGCGCTATCAGTGTACAAGACCGGTCAGGAGGACGGGTCAGGACGACTGCCCGGAGGAATTGTCGCCCTCAACGGGCTCCGTTAGTACAGCGCATTCATGTACATCCAAAGCTCGATTAAAAGTGTACTTTTAAATACATTTTAAACTTGAAAAGTATTGATGATATCATATGAAGTTAAATATATACAATGACTTATTTCTGCACGCTTAAGCATACGGAAGGTTCTTTAATTTAATTAGGCAAACGAACTATCAAAGCGGAAGAGACTGTGT